AGGATTTACCCCTCTGAATGGGTTGTGACTATCCTGCTGCAGTTGATCAAGCAAAGTGCCTCCTTCTTAGAGGTGTGAGGTTTGCAACCAGTGCTTTGTTCGGCCCTGAGGTGGGAAGCTGCTTTGTCTTCTTCCCAACGCACACACTGAGGTTTTCCCCCTGCTTGTTTGTGTGAATAATAATGACCCAACCTGAGGGGTGAAATGACTGAAATGATTTCTCTCCCTTTCTCTTTGCAGAACTGAAGACTATATGAAGTTGTCCCTAGCCTCCTCCTAAAGGCATCCCTTGGCATCTTTAAAGGCTTGAAATACCAAAACCAACCAAACACACCCATAAGAGAAATCCATAAACCCTCAAAACTTGGGATCCCCTCTTGGTCCGAAGTTGAGTTCTTCAAAAACTTCTGTGCTGTCAAGCTTGAGGAGATCCTGTTGTGTGGCTCCAGGGACTGGGGCTGGGCCCAAGCAGTGACTTGAGTTGTGTTTAGGGGACAGGGATGAACCTTCTTCCCTGTGCCCAAAACAGAACCCATATTGGACACTAAATATGCAGCAAGTCTATTAGTTGTGTTCATTACTACTTATTAGGCCTGCTATGAAATCTCTGCTGTTCCTTTCTTAGGGGGGTGAACCCATAGCTCTTCTCCCAGACCAGCCTGGACCTTATTTCAGATGATAAAGTTGTTTCTTCCTGGGGCCAAACTCCTCTTTCTTGCTGGGGGGGTGGGAACTGCCTGTGATTTGTTGTACAGAGCTGCTTTATTCCAAGGGGTGAAGGAACAAGTGGGGTCCAAGCAAGGGATGGCAGATGGTAGCTGGACTGACTCAAATCTTGCTTCCGGAGTTATTTTAGCTGAGAGCTGATTCTGTAGGCAGAAGACTCGAGAAGTGACAAAGATTGATAGTTTAGCTGTTCTGCTTGTGGTGCAGGTTTAGGAGACCACACTTTGGCTGCTGCTAACATCTGGATTCACGCTTTTCCTTACTTCATTTCCCAAGAGGAGAGACCTGAGGGGGTAGCTACAGAATCACAGGTTCCCTTTGGCTCCAGATGAGATAGTGGGGGTCCTGGAAGAGACACCTTCCCCATTCCCTTGCCTGCTTGCTGCTCCAGTGCCCTCTTCTCTTGCTAGCTTTGTGGCTTGCCCACTGGAGCCAGAGCTCAGCATCGCTCCTCTGCTCTGCCACACGTAGAAGATGAATTTGGCCGGGCACGTGTAACACCTTCAGGCATTGCAGGTTCCAAATCAAACCCAGCTGGTTTGTGAGGGTGAGACGAGGGTCTGAGTCCTCTCTAAAACACCTAAAGTCCTCTGTAAAACACCAGGCTGGGGGGGGGGGGGGGGGCATGTGTCCTTTGACATTTGTCTTTCACTGCCGGGCAGCTGCCTCTTGGCTAACGCCGCAAACATATCACAAACCCAAGAAGCTGCTTTTGTGTTTTCCTTTTCAATTCCTATGCAGACAATACTTGAAACCTTGTACACGGTTGTCCTTTCCAGCACCTGGGGTTGGCACACTCTTCCTAAAAGGGCTCATTTAAAGAACAGCAGGAGGCTTCAGCTTTAGAAGAGGCTGCTCCTTCCCAGCCGACAACTGCAAGCGTGTCCAGGGCTTTGCATATGAATTTAGGCACATCTGGACCCTCTGCTTCACCACCCTGCTGGTCCAGCCGCTGTCTCCCCTCGGTGCTGGCTGACTCTGTGTCCTGAGCACCCAACTATGCAAAGAATGCCTTATATACGTTGTGTTGAAGTTACGTGGCAATATGTACATCGAGCAAAGTCTATAGTTGAGTCCAGAGTTTTGCTAGTGGCAGCGAGCCAGACTGTTTCCTCAACTCCAAAGGCCGTCTGGGTGTTTTTTACTTGTGTTCATTTTGTTTGTTCCGTATCTGATGGTGGCTCTTACACAAAGGACTGTCATTCTAGTGGCTTGAATCTGTAAAAATTGCCTTTGTTTGGTCCAATAAACCTTTGAATAGTTTCTTTGCTCTGTGCTTGTTCTCCCTGCCTCCAGCAGCTTATAACATCTTTCGAGAGAGAGCTGTATTCAAAATGTGACTTTTAGGGCAGAGGTACATTCTGCCCTCCTGTGCCTTTTACCCCATAAATGATTCCATTGGCTTCCTCGACAGTAGACTCAGCCCAGTGGCAAAAGTCAGGGATTTTCCCTTATTTCTGCTGCGTTCCTGGTCTTGTTTGGCCGCAGAGGAATGAGCAACATTCCCAATGCAGAGCTCTGCTCGGGGTTTCAGCTGCCATCATCACGAGTGCCTGAAACAGAGATCTCCTTTCACATACCTATGGATCCCTGCCCCAAACCTCCAGCTAATGGTGAAAGTCTTGGACTGAGTTGCCAAAGAAGAGCCTAAGGCAGCTCAGTGTGCAAATTCAACTGCCTAGCAAGGAGAATCAGGCTGCTTTGAAAGCCTTAACTAGTCTCTTTTGTCAGCAATAAGTGAAATCCTGTTTGACCAAATAGTTTTGAGGACAGAGCTTACGGGAAGAGAGAATGATTTCACTTGTGAATGGGGTAGGTTTGATCTCACATCATCAAACAAGCCCCCAGCCTGGAGCACTGCTTGTTTTCAAAGTTGCCTTTGAGAGGAGAAGCTCCTTCTTGCAATCAGTTTTATGGTTTTGATGCCTTCATCTTCCTTCCCAGGCTTGTTTCTCTCTTTATCTTTGTTTTGCTCTTCCTTTGTTGTACGTTATGTAGCACAAAGAAGTAACAGCTCTTCTTTGTTTGTTTTTCAAATGCACAGGCTTATTTAAAGTTATGGGGAGAGCCAAAACGCATTGAATAAACAGAGTAAATATTGACCCTCATCTTGATTCTGGAGGTTTGGAGGTGAGGAAACAGGCCCTTGGGAAGGTTGTAATGTCTGTGATGCAACAAGCAAGGGATGCAGACCTGCGTGGAGCACTCCCAGCTGGCAATGCATTTCAGCCACAGGAGGCAAACTGTGTATTGGATTTCTCCACCCCAGACTGGAAACGTGCCCTCTGGTGCCTCTACAATAAAATATTGATCGCTAACAACTCTGCTTCCCTCCCTCCCTCTCGTCTGGAAAGGGCAGTTGGACGCTATCCATGCCAGCACAAAACATTACAGAAGAGACAGACAAATCCAGGCTCTTGCCAGCCTGTGACCAGAGCTTTCATAACCAGAGGCTCCCACAGCATTAGCAGGGTATGTCTGGCCTTAGGACAACTGCATTTACTGCATTTTAATTGCAATAGAAAAGAGCTGGCAAAAGAGCTTGCTTTTGCCCGAATCTGCTCTTTCCCTGCTGTGATGGTGCTAGGGGACAGCCTGCTGTTCCTGCTGCTGCTGGGGCTTAGCCCAGGAGAGGGCAAAATCCAGAGCCCCCCTCAGCAGGAGCTCAGCACCCAAAGGCACCTCTGCTCCCGACCGTCTCCCTCCATTGATCTTGTTCGTGGTGTGGTTGCTTCTGATGCGTTGACACTGTTCTGTCTTCTTCTGAGCAAAGATTGCATCCTGGGTTTGCCTGCCAATCGGTATTTCTACCCCTCCTGGTACTAGAACTGCTTCTCCATATGGGAATTGCAGGAAGACTCCCTCAGGTTAACTAATGGTGTGCATTTAAATGGATTAATTACAGTGTATTAAAATCCTATGCCAAAAGCTGTCTGTGACGGGGAATGACGACTCTTGAAAGGGTGACCATGTGGAAGTGAAAGCCAGAGTCTCTTTTTCTAGCCCATGGGACGTGTAAACGTGTTAAACAAGCAGGAGGAGCTGGGATTGCAGCAGATCTGTGCTCTGAGCTGCTGAGCTACCGCTGAATTCTGGCCCCACAGTCACGTAGAGGCAAAATGAGCCTTGAAGTAACAGAAACTGTTTTCCCCTTATTAAAGCCATAAAGCACCACAGCCTCACTAGCTCTTTTAATCTCACACAGGAGAGTCAGATAGGAGATGTGCTAAGCGATACTGCAGTCTCCTCCCTGGCAGTAAGAACGTACCAGCCCACAGCCAGCCCGGACTGGAGCCAGGGTGCACATTCATTTTGCCCTAAAAAAGGATTTTGTAGCTCATTACATCAGTTCATGAGCCACTTGCAAGCAAACGACACTCCTGTGCTGCCCACCCTTCTGTACCCCTGACTCATGGTCAGTAGATGTGGGACCAATACATCTATAAAGCTTCCTCTGATTAAACCCTGTGGCAGACACCAATCTTCATGCTGCAGCACGCGCAACAATGGTTAACTGCTTCAGGTTAGGGAAGTTATATCCTATATCCCATATCCTCTATTATGGGGACAAGGGTGTTGGTCATCTCCTGTGGGACTTGCTAGGGATGGAAATCTGAGCTGGGTGCTCCACTGCCCAGCCTCTGCTCATGCAGGGATGTCCTCATTGTTGGTATGGCTGCGAGTCCCTCTCACCATCTGACATTGGCAAATGAAGCCAATCAAAGCCAATTTCTCTCTGTGATCATATCCTCCAGTGGCTGATTAAAGCCATGGACACTCTGAGAGTAATCTGGTCTCTAGTTTTAAGGCAGGGTATGTGTTTTAAATGTAATAGCTGTTCCTGAATTACTCTTGTGTCTATGTACTGTCATGAGAGAACACTGTGCTGGTAAAGCTCCATCCGGTTTCAATATGGAGTCTGCTAAATTGAGACGTGTTGGTCTTAGGAAATTCCATGTCTCAAGTTATCTTGAAACTCTTGAGCACAGATAAACCCTAAGGAACTCCAAAGCTAGTGTTAAAGCACACTGGTTTATCTCCGTATGTAGAGAACTACAGAGAGACATGCAGGATGATTAGATAAACGGGAAGGGGGAGGAAGGAGAACCAGAGGCTGTCTCTTTCTTATCTCACATGGGCAGATTTCCTGCAGCCACTAAGGCTTGTAAAATGACCTGTGTTTGGCTTCGTGTTTCATTTGACCAGGGTGTTCTTGCTCAAAGTGCCTTCTTCTGGGGCCTGGCTATTCCTACTTCTCCTTTTCTTCTTGACAGGGTGCAGAGGGAGCAGCTGGCTGCCATCTTCAGGCTCATGAAGGAAAAAAGTGACACGTTTGGAGAGATGTCTGAAGGAGACATGAAGGAACAGCTTAGACTCTATGATATATAACCTTGCAGGCAGAAAGTCATCATGTCCCTTATTATGCAAGACACTGGAGGCTGTAGTTCTAGAAATACGTTTCAGTAGTTATTTTGCAGTTCCAGTTTGTTTTGCAAACCCATATAGGCCTGTGATACGTATTACAAAAGACTTGTAATTTCTCACCCTTTATATTGTTTCTCCTTGAAGAGCTATCATATTTTCATCTCGTACAGAGGTTGGTACCTCCTTCTAGCTGTGTCATACGTCTCGCTCACACAGAGCAGTTAAACCCACAACATTTTCTGGCCATGCTGTGTAAACGTGACCTTTCCAACCTAGTCTTTATCAGTTTGATACCTAAAGAAAGCCAAAGATGATAGACATAAAATGGATGAATATAATATAATAGAATCATAGCATAACTCAGGCTGGAAGGGACCTGAGGAGGTCTGTAGTCTAACCTCAAAGCAACATCCGCTATGAGACCAAGCCAGGTTACTCAGGGCTTTATCCTGTTGCATCTTGAAAACCTCCAAAGATGGAGACTGCACAGCCTCTTGGCAGAGTCTTCCAGTCCTACAGTTAGAAAGCAAATAGCCAAAGGCATGGCAATCCTGCTTGTGTTAGAGGCGAGTTGCTGTTCTTGTCTCCTTGGAAGGAACACTTCATCCTCCTTCACCCTGCCTTTTGGAAACAAGCCCATGTTGGTTCCAGCTGACCTCGTTGAGCTCATCTTCACGCCTGGGAAAGCAGCAGCTAACTTAAACCTGGAAACACAAACATCTCTTTGCCTCTCAACACTGGTAAGAGTAGTACGGAAAGGTGGCTTCTTTACAAGGATGATTGTGTTCAACTCTGATCCTGTTCTCCCAGCAGAAAAACGATGTGGGAAGCCACCTCCTTAGGGAATCTGTGAACTGAGGAAGTATTTTGAAGCAGCCGCTGGTGGTTTGGGTACAGTAAATCACTGGGCATTCTGAATTTTAACTGAGTGTCTTCTGGTGGACTTGGCTCTCCTACGAAATCCTGTTAAACACTGCATTATCAGGAAGGATCTCCTCAGTTTTAATAACTGCTGACAAAGGGAGGCAACGGTTTCTGAGCCAGTTTTAGGGAATGATCTCTTTCAAGATTAGTTTTGCTTTGTTTTCTGTAATCCTTTAGAGTCTGGCAAACCTGTTAGCTCATTATCTGGTCTCTATTTCCCACCACAGTATATTCTATAATACCATAGTATTTGACTTCTAAGAATCACTTTACCTTCCAATTGCTGTCGCTTAGGTGAAGGCACATTTATTACAAGATCAACCTGGTTTTGCTACCAGTTCTGACTTAAATCTAAACATAATGTCAGAGAATTACCTCTTCTTGTTCAGCATGAAGGAATTAAGAGGGAAAGGAGTCTCATGATGTGAAACACCACGCTGGCGTGCGGTGTCCCTGGGACATAACCTCCTCTGTCAAGCTGTGCAAAGGGAGGAATGTGGAGAATTTGCATATGGGACCTCTTCCTAGTTCAAAACTGAAAGCAGGATCTTTCGCAAAGCTGCTCGTGAAAGCAAGCAAAGGAGCATTAAGGTTGAGTTGATTTTCAGTCTTTGTCTTGTAGCCTTTATAGCTTATTGCAAGCATTTTAGAGTTCTTCCTTTACATCTGGGCCTTCTCTGAACAGGAACATTTCTGGAAAATAAAAAGACCCCTCAAACTCCTCAGCCTCACATTATATAACACTGTATAAAGCAGAGCGGTTGGCATTAAACCTGTCCGACACCGAGCAGTGCCACCAAAATAAGATGCTGTCGATGACGGGACAAAGGTAAATGATCTGTCGTTTACTAGTGAAGCATGGAACCAGACTCTACAATACAACTCAGAGTTATAAAGCAGGGATGTTTATTACGGTGCCGGGTGCAAGGGGGATCTCTCCTCCTAACTTGCACACCGAGGGGTTTATGACACACAAACATGCATATTCATTAGGTTCCCGAGGGAGTGGTGGGGATATTACAATTAGTTTAGGTACTCATTATCATCAGTCTCCTCCCTTTTGGCACTTGCGCACTGCCCTCCGGTGGTCGTGGGCAGGGGTCTGCAAGAGGAAGCAAGCAGTCTTCCTCCGGCTGCACTTTGCACGTTTGGCACAGTTGGCTGCCCCAGTAATCACGAAACTCGATGAAACCACCCGTACCTGCAAGTTTCTGATAGCTGGCAAAGATTTAGAACAGTGGGACCTTCGTACAAAATGTATTGCAAGCAGAACAGGACGGGCAGACAAGGAGTATCCAAAGCTAGCCGACGTTCGGGAAGCACCATCTCCAAACTAACTGATCATTACGATGGTCACTCATTGGAAGGATGGAAAGAAATAATTCACTCTTGTTGGTAAGACTACTAAATTCTGTTATCCCAGCACAGACTTACAGCACAAACATTGTTCTGTCTTAGACCTAAGTTAAAAGTATCTTAACCCTATGTTTTCCAGGCACTTGCTTTCCTTACATCACTAGGTCCAGTCAAAGCAATGAAGCTCAGCAGGAACACCCCTTCCCAAGGCACGGGACAAAGGGATGTCTGGATGTAAGCCCTGGGGGTTTAAGGTGCGTGTCCTCTGCGTGCAGCCGCAGGGCGGTGCTGAAGAGGAGCCCGCGGGGAGCTGCTGCGGGGCTGGGATACATCAGTTCCAGTTTCCTTTTCCCGCTGGGCTCTTAAATATTTACACAGGAAATTCCACCCCTTGCTCCAGCAGGATCCCCCCTCCGGGTGTTGTGCTTCACTTAACGCTGGCCTCCCGCGGGGTGCAGAAGCGGTTGCACGAACACACCCCCTGAGCGGGACGGGGGGGGGGACACACTGGGGGAGACCTTTCCCTCCTTGGACAACACTTGGAGCCACAAACACGGAGGGGAGGATCCCGAATCATCCCCCCATGGCCTCCCACAGCGATTCGCTCCTCCTGTGAGCGGCCGCGGGCGCTGCGGGGCCCTGCGGCTGCGAGGCCCTGCGATGGAGCCGCTGCCATGGCAACCGGCGCTGGCCGCGATTGGACACTCGTGTCCACGTTAGGCACCCGTAAAGAACGCGGAACACGGTGGTTTGTTCCCATTCGGCCGCCGTAGCCCGCTGAGGCTGGGGTTGGTAGATGGGGCGAGCGCGGGTGCGCGCCGTGCGCATGCGCACTGCGTGCGGCCTCAGCTGCGTGAGGCCTCAGCTGCGTGAGGAGGGGGTCTCGCTTCGCCTCACCTAAGATGGCGGCGGGCGCGGGTTGAGCGCCGTGAGCTGGGGTAGTTTTTAGCTTCCCTCACAGGCACTGAAGTCGGGATGTTGGGTTCAGTGGGCTCGGAGTGGGTGCAGTGAGATGAGGTGACCCTGGGTTCGGTGGTGGGTTTGGGATGCGCCTGTGCTGGCACCCCGGGAAATGAGTCTTACGTCCCTCCAGGAGTGCCCAAAGGCCCATGGAGTGTGTGCTGCTGCCCTCACTGCCGTGCTCGGCAGGAACGGGTCACCCTCCGTCTTTGTCAAGGTACTTTGCAGTCGCGTTATCTCTGGTGCTCTTATTTATATGTGTTCTGACAGCCCATGAAGCGTGCTTCAGTGTGACTGCAGTCACACAATCGCTCTTAAACCTGCAGGTGAGCAACAGATGGTTTTGTCTGCATCTGATCGTGAGCAGCTCTGAGAATAAGAGCATTTTGTTCTGCATCCTCTTGTGTTCCTGGATGTGTTTCTCATTTCTCATTTGAGCACCAGAGATCCAGGTCTAAGGAAAACCAGAATAATTTACTTAGGGAGCTTTAGTAGTGGAGGAGGTGGTGGCTGGGGAAGGAAAGTGTCCACTGCCCCTTGAAGGAAACGGGAATAGGTGGAAATGGGAAAGAGCATGGCCCCATACCTGCCACAAACCTCTCTGCTTTTTGCATTTACAAGGTTATTTTCCATCTCGTGTTGCCTTCTGTGCTGCTCAGGGGAGTTACAGGGTTGTTTGTTTGGGGTTTTTTCCAAACTGTGTCAAATATTTTGGATAAATTCCTCAGGGACATTTCTGAGAATGAATCAAAGGCAAAACTCCTCAATAATACCCACCGGAAGAGAACACATAGGAGTTTCTATGGAGCTACAACACTAAACCCCCTGCTCCTTCCTGTCCCTCCCTCATATCTTTAAATCACTGTATCCAGGCTACATGCCTTTGACAGGGAATTAAATCCCCAGTCTTTGAGTTTATAATAGATTTGGTTTACTCCCATGAGAGTGGTGCAAGCCAAGTTCAAAACCTCTGTTGTAGATAGCAGTCTGGTTTAGATGATAGCTTCCTGTGGGGAATGCAATAACTGGTTCTGAAAGCGGTGAGTGGATGCTGTAGGGAATTTATGTAGTGAATGTGTGGCAAAAGCATCTCCTGGTTTAAGAAGGCATCACCTTGGTTACCACGCACACTCCTGATGGTCAGTCACCTTTTGATACACATAAGCACTGTATAAAGGCCACAGAGAGAAATCTTCCTAAAGCCCTTTTCTAACCTGCACTTCTCTGGCAGTTGTCTGACCAACATAAGAGATTCAGAGCCGCCCTGCAGAGAAGGACTTGGAGGTGTTGGTTGATGAGAAAATGAACATGAGCCAGCTTCAGTGTGCACTTGCAGGCCAGAAACCAACCATATGCTGGGCTGGATCAAAAGGAGCGTGACCAGCAGGTCAAAGGAGGTGATCCTGCCTCTTTGCTCTTGTGAGACCTCACCTGGAGCATTGTGTGCAGTTCCGATGTACTCAACATAAAAAGGACATGGAACTGTTGGAACAAGTTCAGAGAAGGGCCATGAGGATGATCAGGGGACTGGAGCACCTCCTGTATGAAGAGAGGCTGAGGAAGTTGGGGCTGTTCAGCCTGGAGAAGAGAAGGCTGCATGGAGACCTCATAGCAGCCTTCCAGTATCTGAAGGGGGCTTATAGGGATGCTGTGGAGGGACTCTTCATTAGGGACTGTAGTGATAGGACAAGGGTAACGGGTTAAAACTTAAACAGGGGAAGTTTAGATTGGACATAAGGAAGAAGTTCTTTCCTGTGAGGCTGGTGAGGCACTGGAATGGGTTGCCCAGGGAAGTTGTGAATGCTCCATCCCTGGTGGTGTTCAAGGCCAGGTTGGACAGAGCCTTGGGTGGCATGGTTTAGTATGAGGTGTCCCTGCCCATGGCAGGGGGGTTGGAACTGGATGATTTTAAGGTCTTTTCCAACCCTAACTATTCTATGATTCTATAACCTCAGTGCTGGAGGAAGCTGGGCAGTGGTGTCTGTCACCTTCTGTTTGTGGCAAGTTAGTGGTAGTTTGGTTTATTCCTTCACCATAATAAGATGACTGAAGCGGCTTTCACAAAGGTGAGGTTTTACATTGATTTTGACATGTTCCAGGAATGTGATCTTGTGAGTCCTCTCTAAATGTCAAGGGAAGCAGGAGAGATTCTGATCTATGTGTTCAGACTGAGTTTCAAAATGATAGAATCACAGAATAGTTTGGGTTGGAAAGGGCCTTAAGATCATCCAGTTCCAACCCCCTGCCACGAAAGCAGCACTAGATGGTAAGAATTCCTGAAGATAAGCTCAGGCAGTGGGATGGAGTGCTGGTCCTGTGGATTTGAGTGTGGCTTTTTGGTAAGATGGGAACAGAGCAAAACATGGAATTCCTTGTGATTATTTTTCCTTTAAGCTTTGAATAGATCTATTGTGCATCAACCATATGTGATCACTGGAGCCCAGCCAACAGCTCTGGAATAGCTGTGGGACACTCCCTTTTGGAAAGGGGGGAAATGTGTCTGAAATGCTTTCTTAATTCCCAAAGTAGGTCAGGAATGCAGTCATTGGGATGCGTATGTGTAGTGAGTGAGTGAGTCACGGTGTGGTCAGCTCTTGGGAATGCTGTGTACCACTGGCATTTGTTAACTGCTCCATGGCACTGGGAACAATAAACCAACAAAGAGGAGGTATTACATGGTTTGGTTCATCTTTGTTTGCCTCAAAGAAATGGGATGATTTGGTTTATTTTCTGTGGGAGGCTGGTGTCACATCTGCTCTGGGAATTGTGTTGGGTTTTAAGGCAAATTATTGGGGATGCTGCTGGAGGAAGAGGTAAAACAGCCTCTAACATCGTCCAGGGGCTTCATAAACAGCCTCCACATGTCCAAAACCGGCCGTGTGACCTGGGAGCAGTGTGGCAGGGGGGGTGTGTGCCTTCCACATGTGCTCACGCTGGCTGTGAGGCTGTTCCCAGTGGTAAAAACCAAGGGTGAGGTGTGATGAGTCCACTGGGCTCAGTTTTAACTCCCCTACAGTGATGAAGAGATGGCAGCTGCAGTGCAAGGAGAGGTAACACTTGGAAAGAGCCAGTGCTGTTTTACTTGCTGCTGACAGTAGAAAGCGTGGTTCTTTTTGGAGCTATTTTTTATCACTGTTTGACCACAGCTCACATTTTTTTACCCAAAGCTCATGTAAACGCAGCCCCAAAGTGCTCACGATTGGAAGGAAGTTTATAAAGGGCATGTTCTGAGATGGGGGGGAGGAAAGGCCAGTCCTGTTTATCCGCTGGATGGTGCTGCTGCTCTGTACAAACCGCAGAGGGGTCCTGCAGCTCCGACTGAAGGCTTCAAGTAGTTCTGCTTCATAGAGGATCAAGGATACCCACAGCCCTTTTCTCTGTAGCAAATCTTGCACGAATCCTGCACGTTTAAACAGAAAAGGGGAGATTGAGGTGAGCTCTTAGGCAGAAGCTCTTCCCTGTGAGGGTGCTGAGGCCCTGGCACAGGGTGCCCAGAGAAGCTGTGACTGCCCCATCCCTGGCAGTGTTCAAGGCCAGGTTGGACACAGGGGCTTGGAGCAAGCTGCTCTAGTGGAAGGTGTCCCTGCCCGTGGCAGGACTGGGACTGGATGATCTTGAGGTCCTTTCCAACCCAAACCAGTCTGGGATTTGATGTTGTGATCCACCTGTTATCCAGCATTCCCAAGACCGACTACAGATAGGAAAACTCCTGAGCAATTCCTTCTGATCAGGACCAGGGTTTTTCTAAAGTAATCCGTTTAAAAGCTCCCTCAATCCCCCAACCTCACAATTTAACCTTTATTTCACCGGCAGGATGAATCTTGGTTGCTCCGTTAAGTGCAGTCAGCTCGCTAGGGGTCACTGGAGGAAAACCTTGTTTTCTCTCTGTGGTTGTACTTCATTGCGAGGGAAGAGAAGACACATTCTCTGATGAAGCCACTTTTCTAGAGGCAGGGACTTGGGTTTGAATTTGGTTTGCTTTCCCATAGCATCAGATAACATCAGAAATAAGGGTTTGTGACTAATGGGACATTGTTCTAATGTCCTTGTAGCTTTTAATTGTGTTGTTCTGTGACTCTGTCTTAAAGATCTAATCGATCCTTAGGAAGGAGAGGACTTTGTGGATCACTGCCTCTGTCATTTGTCTTCCTTGTCAACACTGTTGCAGCCTTTTATTGGAAACAAGAATAGCTCGTGCGCTGTGAGAAACTGTTTTGCAAGCTCTGCCTATGACGTAGTCATTGGAATTCTGCTCCTGATAATTGATGGAAGTAGAAATGAACTTGAGATGCTGTTTTTTAAGGAAATGGGAGGCTGGGAGTTTGTGGTGAGTGAAGATGGCACCACTGGTTCAGTCACTTCTGAGAGTGATACTTCGATGGTTTTAGTGCCTTTCAGCATCAGAGCACTGACTGGCAGCTCCTTCCAGCTCATACATACCCCAAATTCTGGTAGCAGAGGAGAGCTGTGCAGAGAAAGCCCCAGTCAGCTGCAGCAGATGCTGCTGACAACCATTGCGAGCCTGTGGAGTGCACGTGCAAACCCGCTGTGTGACTCCTGACTTCAGGTGAGTTACAGCATCAGGTTCATGCCTCAGTTCCTCCTCTTATTGTAAACTGTTTGTACTCAAGGTAGTGGTTCCCTGTTGAAGGATCTTTCTAACCCCTCTTGTCACCCTGAATTCCTTTAGCTGCTACTCCCTTTATAAGGAGTGTATCCTTTCATGTCAGCAAGGACCATTTAAAAACCCAGCTGTTTTGGAGGAGAAGCATTCTAGGCCAGCTGCTATTGGAGATGACTGTGACCTTTAAAGGGGGCCTTCCTGGAAATGTGACTGGGTGATAAAGCAGCACTGCCTGGGCAAACACATCTGCAAGGAGCTGGAATTGCTGCTTAGGCTTGTCCAAGCATCTCATGTTCGTACTGAAAGTTAGACCTGTGTTGCAAACTGGAGGTGTTCTAGTTTCTAGATCCTCCCAAGATGCGGTCTGTGTGTGGTACTCACCCCTTGATCTCTGAACTTTCTGTTTGTTTTGGCTTTTTGTTAAAGGTTCTCCCCCGTGTGTGTTTACGTACTTCAGGTTTGATCTGCATGGGTAGATATTGTCTGTTCCTCTTCCATGGGCTTTGTTTTGTTTGTTTTTCCCCTGGGTTGTGAAGCTAGCTATTGGATGAGTTACACAGGGTGTTACCTGGGTATTAGCAATAGAAAGACCAGTGGAAACTGGCTGGAGAAAATAGAAGCCCAGCTTTGCTCTGTGCTGAAATTATCACACCCACACACTTAAATCAACTTTGGAGTGGTGAAGTTTGGCTTTTGGCAGGGGCAAAGAGGCTTCTGTTTCAGGCAGAGCTGCAGGAAGGTTGGAGGTTGGGTATTGCTGATTCTTTCTCCTTTGTTGTCTGGTTTCTTTGTCCTGCAATAAAGAATTCTGTGTCTCATCCACTGTCCTTGTGGCAGGATAGAGCTGTCTGACCTTGGTGGAGAAGGGCAGTACCACTGTGTATGAACCCAGAGACCCTGAGGTAGGAACAGTGAGGAATTTTTAGGGGGAATTTAATCTCCCAGCTACTTTCAAGCTGCCCATGAACATCCAGGAGTGTTTGGCCTCAGTTCTTTGCTCTTGTTTTATGTGTAAACCATGACAGTTTCAACAGCCTTACAGCTGCACTGTTAAATGGGCAGTGCTGGGAAGGGGGTTGATGAGATGGTTCCCTAAAATGTCCCAAGGGAATTACACACTGTCCCACACACCACTGTTCTTAAAACCTGCTGTCAGCAGTGGGAAACTTTCTGTTTGGCTGTTTAAGACAAGAGAGCCATGTGTGCAGGTTTGGAGACAGGTGGCTGGAGTGCTGCGTGCTCCTTGGGGCACTTAGCTGATGGTATTGCCAGGTATGCTATTTAAAGTCATGTTTGACATAGGAAGGAATGGTGTAAGGATGATCTGTTGTTTGCCAGCTCCACTCATCTCTTCATGCAAGTCCACTTGCAGTGTTGAAGCCAAATTTGATCACCTTGACTCTGCTGTGAGCCAAACGAAGTTAATAAAACTGGTGAGCAAGGGTTTGCAGGCAGGAGTGTGACTCGATTTGGCCTGCAGAAAACCCTGGTAATGCTGGTAACCATCAAACCTGACTTGCTTTTGGCACGTTGGGTGCAGTCAGCAGAGCAGGCAGGTAAACCAGGTATCTGTGACTGAGCAGACCTAGTGCAGAGTCCACAGCATAAGATCAGGCAGCCTCAAGATACCGGTTTTGTTTTGGTGCACTTCAAAGTTCATAGCAGACAAACTCGTGTCTGGGGTGTGTGGAGTGAATGGCCTTTTCATGAAGTATGCACTGTTTATTTCTGCAGAAATGGAGCTGCAGTCTTCTGGTTTACTTGAAGTTGTAAGGCCAGACCTTGTCAAATGCTGACAGGAAGAGAAGTGAGAGGCTGGCTGAATACAGTGTTCTGCAGGGAGCAGTAAACAGCTGAAGGCACTGGCCTTCCAGAAGAGCTATCTTGCAAGTCAGCTGCAGTCCCCAGGCAATGAAGTGTTTTACAGAGTAACAGAGAGCCCAAAGACTAACCACATGACAAGATGGGACTTTTCTTTCTCCCAGGCTAGATTAGATAGCAAACCATGTGAAATTCCACGAGGAAAATGCCACCGATTGTATTTTTCCCTTTCAAGATCAATGCGTGTTTTGTAGATGTGAGTTACTAGTGAGATAAAGCTCATTCTCAAATGAAACTGTATTTTAGGAAAGACCTGAACCTCCATCCATGAAACTGTAGGTATTTTAATGTGGTTTTGGCGGGGCACTTGATGTGTCCAAATGTTTTTAATAGATGGACCTCCTGAACAACAGTGAAACCCTTTGGCAGTGGCAAGACAAGTAGCTTGTGAGCTGCTGCAGCATTGTGACTACAGCCATCCCAGTTTGGCAGATGTGGTGGTGGAGCCACCAGTGTCTGGATGAAACTGAAATCAGAAAGATACCCGTGTAGCAAAAGCAGGATTCTTGGCGCCATCCTGGCTAAATTCTCATGTGATTAACTGGCTTTTACTGCTCTGTCTTCTTTCTGTTTCTTCCCAGACCTTCTGTCTGGTGCAGTGTATGGTGCTGGAGCATGGCTCTTCACATCCCTCTCATCAGTGACTGCCTCTCAGTATCAACAAGAAAACACAGGTGATTTGCAAGTGCTTTAGGGTAAATTACATAAAGTTTATAAACCCAAGGGCTTGTTGTTTGCTCTTAGATTCTCAGTGTGCTTTACCATATGGTTTCACACAATAGCACCCATAATTAAACAAGAGTCCTTTTCCATAATCCTTCTTTTTCTATGGAGCAGTTGGTGTCCTCTTGCTCTTGATTGTTTTGTGCATTTACTCTTAAGATATTAGTGATTTTAGTTAACTGGGCTTCTGTTTACTCTGCAGTTACAATATCAAGGGGTAAATATGAACTCAAACATTGACCAGGCTGGAAGGTGGGGTGGAGTAAAGGGAGTGAAACCTCAAGTGCTGGAAGATAGAGGAGCCTCAGCTGACATCTGTTTGGAGTGAGAGGGTTGGGTTAGATATAACTGAAGCTTGGAGCTGCCGGACATGGCCTTTTAACATGTCTCTTCCAGCCTTTGTGGCTGTGGCTCTGCAATGCATCTCATTCTAGATGAGTAAGTAGTGTCTTAGTGAGTGCAAAATGCCCCCTACAGAGGAAGGATCTGTGAGGGCTGAACACCACCTGAATTTGATATCATCCTGTAACGGCACAGCTTAGACTGTGCCTATTGTAGGCCTGACCATTCTAATTTGATAACTAAAAATGGGGACACAAGGCTCGAAGTGCAGGCTAGAGAGCTAGGAACAAACACAGCATATGTCCTGTTTGACTGCTTTGTGCCAGAGTGACACCACCCTTAGGAAGTGCAGCTCTCAGAAGGAGATGGATAATGGCATTGCACAGCATTATTACACACAAACTGGCTGATCCTCTTGGCCCCTCAGCTGAGACTGTGCAACAGGAGTGTCCCTTCTGAAGATCTAAGGCTTTGCCTTAGATCAGATGCTAAGCAGCTCCCAGGGAACCAGGAGAGAATGGCAGCCCCTTCCTGAGCACAAGTACTTCTCATTTCCACTACAATAGTACAGTGTGCTGCTCTCCTGCCCACCAATTACTTTCCCTGGTGTTTTCCCAGCATGAGGTTTATAAGTGTTGTGCAACTGGGGTGGCAAGGATTTGCCTTCTTTCCATGGAAGGCAAAAGCCTCCCTCAGGTAGTTGATAGGAGGAGGGGGGGGAGCACAGGACTCTAAAGTAGGAAAATAACTGTTAAATAGAAGGCAATAGAAGAAGAGAAGCATGTGATTTTCAGCAGTAAATCCATCTTTTCTCTCACAGGACCCTGTGACCTTGTTACTCTTGCAGCTAAAAGTGTGCCTGCACTTCTCTGACACATCTGTCAGTCAGGAGCAGAGAGGACAGCACTGTGAGGCCACATTTTTCCACGTGTAAGTCAGGGACATGATGATTTATACCACTCAAGAAGCAGATGTAAATCTTGCATTCCTGTAGCACTTTTCACCCCAAAGATGCCAAACAGCACATTTGTCTGCCAGCTGTCAAGGGGGATGGGAAGAGTATGGGAAGGACCTTTAGCAATAAATATTTCACTCTTGGTTCTAAAATCAGTAGCCCTCTGCACAGATGTGAGTCTAATTTATATGTGTGCAGAGCTTGATTTTTCCATCCAGATGTGAAGTGCTGGGATAATCTGCTTGCATTTTTTTTTTGCCAGTGGAATGGGCTTTGTGATTTTTATGTTTCTGGAGCAGTGAAGAGTCCTGGAATGCTCCTACTCCTTGGCAGCTGTCAGGGACAGGAGCTGGAGAGGCTGCTTTTGTGATGGGAGGCCAGCTAGCCATGAATTGAATGAGATGCCTCCTTCCCTGTCTGCAGCCACTGCCCTGCTTCTTGGCAGAACAGCTCTCTGAGAGATTCCTAGTCAAGGCACAGAATATTTTCTTCCTTTCTATCAAACAGATTTTAAAGGAGAGGTAAAAAAAACCCACAACCCATATCAGCCCTGAAGGGGTGTCAGCTTGTCTCTCGATCTGTCAGCTCCAGGTGATGTGTTAGGCTTCCTGCTGGGATGCAGAGACAAAAGGCTGTTGAGGCAGGCAGGATAAAGGAGTCCTGGTTCTTTCCAGCCTCTGTAACTCCAGATGAGTTTCCAGCCATTGTTGCTGGGGGTGTATTTTTGTGGGGTTTTGTTAATTCTCTTACATGAAGTGGCTCATCAGTCTTGGGATCTTTGTGTATCTGAGAAAGGAATGCTGGGACCAGAGCCACTTCAGTGTTGCAGCTTAACTGGGATGGGATGAATGGTGAGGAGCTCCAGAAGCAGAAAAGCAGTGTGGTGGAAGACTTGCTCTGCTTCACTCTGTATGCAGAGTTAACACCTGTAGCTGTAGGGAACGTGCTACCGAAGGACTAAAGTGAGTTCCAGTCACCAGAGATGTCACATGGCCAAATTCAGAGCATTTCCACCCCATCCTCTAGTGATTGCTCCAGGTAAGGACCTTCCTTGGCTCCTGGGAGCTGGCTGGAGGACCTGCCTATGGTCGCGTTGCCATGGGGAACAGGGGGAAATACTCCAGGTTGGGCACATGCTATCTGCTGCTGCAGCATAAATTCAAGGCAGTTCTTTAGTGAGGCAATAGCTGGGGTGGGGTTGATGGCAAAGCAGACAAGCCAGCACTGATAAAACCCCCAAGTTCTGCATTCTCTGCAGCTCTGCTGTGTGGACACAGGAGGGGCTTGCTACTGTTCCACCGTGAAAGGTGGTGGGTGACAGAGGGTGACAGAACACTGGAACAGGCTGCCCAGGGAGGTTGTGGAGTCTCCTTCCCTGGAGACATTCAAAACTCGCCTGGACACATTCCTGTGTAACATTATCTAGGTGTTCCTGCTCCGGCAGGGGGATTGGACTAGATGATCTCTTGAGGTCCCTTCCAATCTCTAGCATACTGTGATACTGTGAAAGCCACTGTCTCTTTCTCTCCTGGGACATGGCAGAACACAGACCAGCTGGCTCAATAAGCTGCTCCCTACCCCCTGGCAAAGTTCTCTGTGCCAAAACTCTGAGTATTCTTACAAGCACAGCAGAAGTGATGGGGGCTTTGACTCCATCAATGCTCTGTCACTGTGTGCAGTGATTTTGAAAGAAGGTTTGGTGCAGAAGGGAAGGGGCTTGCTGCACAATGGCAAGTAAATGTGGAATTAAGGCACGCTTAGGAGGTTTTGGGCCGTCAGATTTGGTGAAAGCAAGACAAGTTGCTGAGGTTGCTCTTGTCATTTCCTTCCCCCCGGATTGCCAGCCTGAAATCATGTGCTTCTGAAACTGACTACTGGAAACTGGGAGGGGGAAAACAAGAACCTGATGTTTCCAAGTCTTTGCTAAGCCACAGATATGACCAGTGAGCAGTTGCATGCTGCAGGCAATGTCATTCGTTTTCTCTCCCAGTTATAACTAACTCAGTTCTTATATCATCAAGTAAATACCATGAGCAGGTCTAAACACCTTCAGCTTCTTTAGCAGCTCTTTATTCCATAGGCTACCAGTCAAGTACTGGTTGTGGGCATCACTGAAAGACAAGTTTGAACTACAGTGAAGCTTGATTGATTTGTACTTTAAGAACATCTTGTGATGCCCTATTCCAGATCCCAGAGCTATGGGAAGGTGGAAAGCACACAGGAAACAGGCAGGTAAACAAGATTGGATCCACAGCCCTCTGGAAAACCTGCACACAGATAAACTGCTGGCGTAGTCCGGGCTCCAGCCAACACCCACAACACACACAGTGTAAGATCTCATGGAGATGAAGTCTGTTTATGAATAAAAACCCCAAAACAAACAGAAAGGCAAATCTCCCTTTTATCTCTCCAGGATGTAGTTAAGTGGACGTGGAATTAAATGGATTGTTGGAGATGGAAAAGAGCTAACAGATAACTTGATGGTCCCTGGTGCAGTTTGCATAAAGAAAAACACCCCAAAGGTCTGGCTTTCACAGCACTGACAAATAGAAGCGCTGCTGGTGTGGGCACTGGTGATGGAAGCAGTGAACACAGAGTTTCTCCGCCAGGAGAGAAGCAGCATCTTCTGGGATTTCTGGTAGGATTGCCAATGAAACATACCAAACCTCACTTTGGAAAAGGAGGTGGCTTCTGGCCTGTGGCCCTGAGAGGCTGCCAACCCCTGTGTGAGGTGCAGTCCTGGCTTATCTTCCTGTCTGTGGCCTCGGAGCCCTGTGTGTCTCAGGAATCGTACTCCTTAGAGAGCTTTATAAGGGAGCAGCTCTGCTCTTGGCCTCAGTTTTCACCACGTCACCCCTGAGGAGTTACCATGCATCCCCATTTCCCAGTCTGACCTCAGGCCTGGCTGCCTCAGCTCCCGCAGACTGATTTCAGCAGTGGGGAAGGAGGATGGTGAAATAATACTCCAACAAACTGAAAGCCAGTACCTGACAGCTTTGGTTTTGGGAGTTATTTTAGGTTTCCTTTCCTTACACCAGGGTGCAAAGCTGTGTGTTCTGAATAGCAAGCCTGCTTCTGGCTACTGTTCTTGTCAGGGATTTGGGTATTCCTGCTTTCCTGAACACAGAGTACTACAGACATGTTCTCCCCAGTTGCCAGCCCAGTACCTTAAAAGCAAAGCAAGCTGTCTTTTCCTGGCTGTAGGAATCTTGCTATCCCTTGTGGGTCTTGCTTTCACAGTAATGTTATATGGAGGAGGTTGAAGGAAAATGTTTTCTGCTTCCAGAATTTCCCTTTGGGATCCAATTAACAAAATAAACCTTGTAGTTGCATACAAACAGCTTCTTCCAAGCAGAGAGCCTGAAGGTGTATAGGGCTGGCAAGAGAAAGGCTAAACTGAAGCTGTTGCTCTGTACATTGGTGTATCAGCGGTTCAAACTGATGCTTGTTCCTGTAAGACTGTCCCCTTGCCTCTTGTGGCCAGAGAGTTGCTACTTGCGTGCTGCACACCCAGACCTACATCCCACCTAGAGCTGCGTGGAGCTAATAGGGGCTGCCCAGGAGTATGGCAGTCCCTTGGCTGATCCATTTCTCAGTGCCTGTGGTTTTTCACCAGATCTCCTTTGATGCTGGCTTCAGTTTGAGCACTAGTCAAAGGTTTTGCTGTAGATGGAGGCAGGGTTGTACCCTGGACTAGCAACCTCCCTTGTGTTTCTTCAAGGGCTTTTCAAACTTGTCTTACTCTTTCCTTTTTCTCTCCAAGGTTCTCTGATAACCAATGTCTTGCACTTAAATCCAGAGAGGGTAACTTCTCAGGAAATGTGGATGGTAAAGAAATGCAGCTACTGCTGAGCCTTGCACAGGAAATCCTTGCAGCTCTTGCTGTGATGCATGGAAGGGTATAAGGTAAGTGTGAAATTTATTTACTGGCTTGCCTGTGACTTAAAGCAAACGTCTTCCATTCAGTTCCCTGTGTATTCAGTAACAGTATAAAAAATTAAACCCACTTAACCATCTGGGTTTAATTTTTTATAAGAGCTGTGCAATAATATAAGAAGCAATATGGGCATCTCCCCTTGAAATGTCAGGGTTAATATGTCACAGCTCCACATGAGTTAGAATAGCCCTTTGCTGTAGCATGTGAAACTACATCTCTGGTACAGCTAAGTGTTTCTCTGGCTGTGATGTTTGTTTCTGCTCTTCTTTCCCTCTGCTGCTGGGGAGATGCATTCTGTACGGTCACAGATCCATCTCTAGGCAGGTCACTGGTTTTCGTGGAGAGGAGAAAATACATCTTGTGGAACTTGGGATGGGGAGAGAGATTGTCAGGAGTACATCAATGGGAAGCAACATGTCCCAGGTTGGAATATGCTCATGGCTCAAGTAAGGCGTAATGCAAAGCCCTTGGAGCATTTCATGTGCATGTGGAATTAGTGAGGCTTTGTTTAACTGACACAGCTGATGAGCAAAACCTGGCTGTACTGTACAAAGGCCAAATGCTGAGGGTCCCACTAAGGCAGCAGTGTAGAAGGCAGTTGTCTGTCTGTCCATGATGGCATGAGTCACAGATACAAGACACAAACTGTATTTTGATCTTATGTGCAATAAAACTTCAGGTCTGTTACATGCTCCTTTGATACCAGTTGAATGCCAAGGGGCTGTACTGTGGGAGCCTCCGGGGTGATGTAGTTCTTAGCCACACTCAAATCCACGCAGGTCCTGTTTGAGCAGTGAACTGACATAACTGTCATTTCCTGCCCACTCAGTGGTCCCTGTGAAATGATGAGATGGTTCAAAGCCAAAAGTAAATGATCATCCCTAGTGTTGGTATTGGAGGCTGCTTGACCAGGAGCTGAAACAGAAGAGCTGCTGAAGAGGGTGTGTTGCTGCTGTGGGTACACACAGCTCAGAGCAGATTCCGCTTGGGAACCTGAGCTGCAGGCAGGCCTGTGTAACAAGTTTGTCAGCAATAGCACGCTTTGATTGTGATGGAGTTGGCACTTTTCAGACAAGTGAAATACTGGATTGAATCTTTTCCAGTTGCCCTAAAGGCAGGTCAGCTTTATTAGAGAAGGGAGACTGCTTGACTCTGAGCCCTGTCCTCTAATGCTTTACCCAAGCACTGTTAAACACAAACTCTTCTGTTCTATGGTGGATTTTCAAGGGTTTCAACTTACTTCAAAGCAATCACAAGCTAGAATCGATGTGCATCTAGCTATCAGATTTTGGGGGCAGGGATTGCTTCTGGATTGAAGGTACAAGTAGCTACTGCATGAAGAAGAAAATTACCATCTCTTTGTGGTTATACCTAGAATCTTTCCTGAGCCCTCGGGCTTTTTTTTGGTAGGAAAGGTGGTTTCTTGGATTGTAACTATGGCTACTTCCATAATTCACACAAACGTTCTCAGTGATGCTTCCACCAGATTAAAGCTAAAGGTTTTCCTTCTTACGCTGGACCAACCTCACTGAGGAAAATATAGGGAATTCCACTGTTTGCAGTGAAAAGTGTTTCTTTCCCCACTCTGTGTTGCAATAAGCTTGGGGTTATAGACAGGAACAGTGCAAGGCTGCTGTCCTATCTGAGGAGTTGCATCTGTGTGCAGTGTCTGGGGATGTTGAGAGAGAGGGTGTGCACGTTGTTGGAGGGAAATCCAGGGAGAAGACCAGCCTCATCATTCAACACACCTTTGGAGAGCACTGCCCAGGCAGCACCTCTGGGCAGCAGCAGAGCCTCTCGTGCTCTGTGGCATCTCAGCATGAGGTTTTTCAGGAGAAGGCTTCCTAGAGGTCCCAGAGCCCTCATTTGGCTCATTGTTCTAATGCACCTTGGCATCTTCGTTGCTAATTTCAGTTCCTTGTTTGGCTTGTCAAAGACAAGGATTTTCAGGTAAGAGTCCAGCTTCCTTGTGATATGTGCTCTCTGAAGAGAGCACTGTGCTCACTTGCTTTGTCTCTGTGTCTTCTTACCCTAAAACTTATGCTTCTGGTCAGAATTAGAGGACCACTTTGCTTTAGCAGACAACGTTGCGTGCAATCAGAGCACAGTGCTGTGAGATCTACAGTCAGAACCTTGCTTCTGCTGGACCACTAGTTCTAGTGTTTTCTTGTTGTAGCTGTTGAAGAAAGCAGCTTTTGCTTTACTAATGTGATTTGATTCCATACTGTGGCATTACACAGTGTTGGCTTTTCCTGGTGACTCCTAGAGAACTTCATCCAGCCCTAGTCCAGATTGCATTGCTGGACATTGAATTTGGTGGGATACCTTCAGGTTTTTAGCAAATTTAGCTATATACTAATATATTTGGCTATACTATCCAAATACAGACATGCTGCATACTGGGAGACCAATGTCATGCAGAGATGAGCAGTGTCTGTAGTATTCTTTATATAAGTGGTCAAGTAAATCCTACAAGACTGGATGTGGATGGAATTGCAGTGTAGACTGCAGTAGAACATCTCCAGCATCATTGGCAGGGAGCAATGTTCCTTTCATGATCACAGCAGATATGTGAGCTTTTCCTACACAGGCATGGCTCATGTGTTGGTGCTCTGAACTGTGTATTGGAAGCCCCAGCCTCCCCACCAGCCCTCATGTGGTCCCAGCTCTCCCTGTGAGCTCCTCTGGCTTGTCTTAGTAGGGTTAGTTTTCAGCTGGAGCTCAGGGCTGGTGCTGAGGAGGGAGGCTGGGAACACCTGCATCTGTTCTGGAGGTGGTATGAGTTTAGCCCAGCAACTTGAGACTACATGTTGAGGACGGCTGGATGATCTTAAGGTCCATTCTAACCCTAACCATTCTATGATTCTATGATTTGGAGAGGTCAGAATCTGCACAAGGGAGATGGGGGGGAAGGAGAGAAGGCGATGTAAGGAAGTGAAGTGAGTTGTTACAAAGTCCATCAGTGGCAGAGCTGGGACAAGAGCCGGCACACCATGCCCGTTCATGAAGCCCTTTCGTTTTGCCATCGTTTCAGAGAGAGGAAATGTCCCTATTTTTGCAGGTTAAATCAAACTCAACTAAGTATTGAGCTGTATGTGGTTGTCTGTGGGTCAGTTCTGTTTCCATGCCTTTGTATGTAAGGTAGAAAACACAAAGCAGCATTTTTATGGTTTTATCCTCTATTCGTCCTCAGGCTTTGTAAATGGAGAGGGAAATGACAGTAAATGTCATTTTGCTGCTGCAGTTGTTTGCCAGCTGGACTCTGGAATTTGATGAGCTGCTTTGACCATTTGAATGGGAAATGCTGGTCAGGAGAGCAGGGTCCTGTGTAGCCATGTGGGTCTGCCTGCAGGATGTGATGGCCCCTTGGTTTTATACTTTGGTCTCTGTGTTTGGCACAGTGTTTGTAATTAAAGTGTAATAGAGCTGGGATGAAACCTGTGCCCTGTGGGACAGCACAAAGTGTGGACAGGGGGTGGCTTCTCATGCTGTCCTGCTTCATTGGTTCTCTGCCCTTTCATTTCACCATCATTTTAAACATCATCTTAAAACTACAACAGCAAATCATGCAGGGATTTAAGCTTTGCCTGTGCTACCTTCCCAAATGTCTCTTTTCCTTAGACTGTGTATATAAAATCTTTCCTCTGCTATAGACTATAAAAAGCAACACAAGTTTATACATGAAGCACTGTGATAGAAAGCAACTGCTGCAGACTTGCTTGAAAGTGGCTAATGATTATAGGGGAGATGTAGGAAGAGCTGATAGGCCATTGACACAGCATCTTTTTTCCAGAAATCCCATTGGAAAGGTTCAAGTATTTATCTCATACAAAATGAGTTTTAAAAGCCTCTTAGTTGATCATTACCTAATGACTTCAATGAATGCTGTACCACTCTGAACTCTTATCTGCAGCCTGCTGTCTGCAGAGGTGCCTTCCCCCCACCACCATTTATCACCTCAGAAGCAATCCACAGCTTTGTGAAGCAAATGCATCATGCAGAGGGTGAAATCAGCCTGCCACAGCTCTGCTGATCTATCCTGAAAAGCTTTACTGTACATAAAAGCTCAGCTGCAGCAATTGTTCACCTTCCTTTTTCCTGTTCCACCCTCCAGCCATGTGCAGATAAAAATGAGTGTTTGGGACAAACCCCCATCACTTCTGCCTTGATATTTTATCCTGGGTTTCAGCCCAGGCTTGTTGCAGGTGGCTCTTATGCTGTTGGCAGCTCTATACTCCTATGGCATCCTTGTACCTGCCTGGACCTCTGAATCAGGCAACAGGGCAGCTGCGGTATTAGAGGAAATCACTGAAAATGCAGCTATTTTACAGTTTTAGGCTTCAGAGTGTATTTTAGTAGCTTCAAAGTGCCTGTCTCAAGACTCGTACCTGACAAGTGCTGTGTGATGCCATTGCCTTAGCTGGCTGAGGGGGAGGAGGAGAGGGAAAGGTGCCTTGCAACCCCAAATGCTCAAGAAGTTGATGTATGGGAAAGGAACAAGTTTAACACTTCTTGTTAGACTTCCTTTACTGAATTCTGGAAGATCTTCATGCTCTGTCACTGAAGCACTTGGCTCTGCTGGCAGAGAGAGCCAGATGGCTGCCTTCATGGTGTGTGTGCCATGTCCTCAACTCAGGAGCTCCAAAACAGTCCTGCAGTGCTCTGGGGACATTGCCCAGTGCAGGGCAAAGCTCTTCTGTGCTGCTCTGCAGCTCCTGCCGGTGTGGATGCTTCATGAGCCAAGTGCTGAAGAGGGGTGTGTAGCCTTGATGACTTGCTTAGTGGGGAGATAGGTGGTATTCAGGCCAGAATGGTGTGGGAAGTTGAAGAATATTTTAGTGGCAAAGTTGGAAATGAAACTGAATTCATACAGGATCCTGCAGAAATGGCAGCTGCCAGGGCAGGTCCTCCAAATGGAGTGGTCATATGCAATGGTTATGCAGAGAGGGGTTCAGAGTGAAGAGCCAGAAAAGGGCTGGAAGGTGTTTGGTGGTCAGTGGAAGCTGTTTGTGATGTGTCTGCTTTTCCTTTGATTTCATTCAGGCAGTTGAGCATTTTCCAGCGTGCCCCAGATATGCTGCAGGTGGACACCCAAGGGCAACAGGATTTAAACTATCCTGACAATGGGAATTCCAGGAGCTTTTTAAAGGTGCCTTTGGGGAGAGACATCACAAGGCTCAAACAAGACATGCTAGAGAAGACGCCAAGATGGGAAGGAAGGGAGGAGCAGAAGAAAATGATAGAACCAGTTGCCAGGGTGGGAGAAGCCAGGGAGAATGTGACTGTGAAACCAGCCCCTGAGTTGGAGGGAATCAAGAAGACAACAGTGAAAATAGTCCTGAGGATGCAGGAAAACAATGTGAAAAGAACAGTGAGACCAGCCCCAGGGATGGAAGAAGCCAAGGAAAAGATGACAGTGAAACCACTTCCCAGCATGGAGGGAGCCAAGGAGAAGGCAACAGTGAAACTATCCTCTGGGGTGAAGGGAGCTCAGCAAAACAACACATCCAACGACCAAACAATGTCAAAAGAGCCCCCTGCATCAGTGGAAACTGTAAGACCCGTTCCTCAGGCTGCTGCACTGAAAGAGAAGAAGCAGCTGAGGGCTGCTGACTTCAAGTCAGAGCCACGGTGGGATTTTGAGGACCAGTACCTGCTGGACAACTCATCTCCACCATGGGTAGGTGTGATGGCCATGTGTGTTCATCAGGAATGGTGCCTCCCTGTTGACCTCCTTGTCCCCTGGGCATGTGAGTCCATTGCAGTTGAGGATGATCTCTGAGCTGGTAGGTCAGCTCACTGGTATGTAGATGCTGTTTGAACCCAGAGGGGGAGACTTTATACGTATGACTCAGCCTGGGCAGTCCTCCACCATCCTGCAGTATGGGAACTTAGTGCAGTTGCCCACATTTCCAGGGGTTCCTTTGAAAGTCAGCCTGAGCAGGCGTGTTTGGAGCTCAGGTGCATCAGGGGATCAGGTGCATCTGTCCTTCTAGAGGTTCTACAAGGTGATCTCACTCTTAGATGCTTTGGTAAGGGCATAGGGGGCTTAGCCACACAGTGCAGAGTAGATGTTCCCTGTGATGTGGCACCCTAAGGAGTTGTGTCACAGTCTTGTGATGCCTATGGGTAGGTGTTAGGTGTCTGGCACTAAATGGCAGTGGTCATAAAGGTGTCCCATTTCTCACCTGAGAAACTGAACATCTGCATTCCTATGAAGACTCAGGTTTACAGTCCTCAGGTTTCACAGAACCATAGAATGGTTTGGGTTGGAAAGAGCTTTAACATCATCCAGTTCCAACCCCCTGTCACAGGCAGGGGGACCTCACACTAGACCAAAAGGAGCATGAGCAGCAGGTCAAAGGAGGTGATCCTGCCTCTCTACTCTGCACTTGGGAGACCCCACTTGGAGCACTATATGGAGCTGTTGGAGCAAGACCAGAGGCCATGAGGATGATCAGGGGCTGGAGCACCTCCTGTGTGGAGACAGGGTGAGAAAGTTGGGGCTGTTCAGCCTGGAGAAGAGAAGCTGTGTGGAGACCTCAGAGCAGCTTTCAGTGTCTGAAGGGAGCTACAAGGGTGCTGGAGAGGGACTCTTCATCAGGGACTGGAGTGATAGAACAAGGGGTGATGGATTCAAACGGAAACAGGGGAAGTGCAGGTTAGGTATCAGGAAGAAGTTCTTTAGTGCCTTGATCTTCGGTGTATGCCACCCAGCTAAAGAAAACAAGCAGGGTGACAGTGAGGGAACAGGAGGAGGAATGTCCCCCTGCGCCTGTTCACCCAAGCACATACACACCAAAGCAAGTCACAAGCTTTGGCAGCAGCGTTGCAGCAATGACACTTGTGCTAGGCTGGGCTGTGAATAATGATGCTGGCAGTGATGGTGAGCCCGGACACAGGAGGCTTTGTTAGTCACTTGTATTGAAGTCAAACTTAAGGTCAGGTCAAAGAAAAAGGGTGAGATGAGGTTTGGTAAGCATGTACCTACCTGCTTTGAAGACAGTAGGGTGGGGAAAGTTCCCATTTTCAATGTTTTCTGTCAATATTGGCAAAAATTCAACTATGTGTAGGTGTGCCCATGGAGAAGTGATGGTTAAAAAGTAACTTTTTTTACTGTTCTTGTGGTTTACTATCAGCAAGAGGAGAGTCTTTCTCAGCTGTTGCAGTTCACCTTTTCCATCCCATATGTGGGCACCCATAGCGAGCAGGCAGATTCTTTCCCCGTCCAGAGCTCCACAACTCAGATGGTCCCAGCATGTTGGGTTCCTATCTGGGATTTTCTTGCTATGCACTGAATCCTCATCACCACAGGGCAAGTAATTCAGATCAGATCTGGCATTCAGCCACTTTGCTCCTCTATGTTCCTGAAGGCCTGGTCAGCACAGCAGAGGTAAAACAGAACCTCAAATGATACAGTTGTACCTGTCAAGTAGCACTTGCACAGCTACAGCTTTATAAAGTTTCTTTACAGATCCTGTTTGTTGGGAGTGCTGTTCTGTTCTTTGGATCACCTCTGCCTGTGTAGGTTGTATTACTGATGTGAGCTTCCAGAAGTAAGTGTGGTGCCCACCATCAGGTTGTCCTAACAGCCGTGGAATTGAAAGCCTGTTTTCTGCTCTGGTTTTGCACAACTTTTATTCTGACCATAGTTTTGACCTTTCCTTTGCAGCTATGAGGGTTTGCAACTAATTTAAAATGAAATTTGAGCATCTCATAATTACTCAGGCCCAGCAACAGGGGCCTTTGGGGAAGTTGTAAACTCTAGCAAAGCTCTCGGCAAGCAGACGGGGCTGGTTGTGGTACACAATACTGTCTCTGTGCCCCATCTTATGCTGGTAATTCTTTGTAATGCTTACCCAGAGCAGTTTTCCCTGGCAATCCTGTTTCTGGAAGGCTTGGACAGACAGGTAGCCCTCTTTAGAGTGAGGAGGGTCTTTATACATGGGTGTAAATGGCCTTTACACACTGCTTGTGCTAAGAGAGGAGGGGAGAGTGTAGGCTGGTGAGCAGAAGACAGGAGCGCCTGTTCTAGCTCAGTGGTCTTAGATGAGTCATTTCCCTTTTTAAAGTCTCAGTGCCACCATCTTCCAGCATTGCCATGTGTTATTGTGGTGGCACTGGGGGCAATGTAGATGTTGCTCCAGGGGACTGTCAGGGCTGCAGGCACCATGGCGTTCTGCTCAGACCTCTGCCGGTGGAGCAGGGGCTACTCTTGAAAGTTTAATCCCATTCCCCAATCCCAGCATGCCCTGGACACATGTGGATCCTAGAATCACAGAATCAGTGGGGTTGGAAAAGCCCTTTAAGGTCATCAGGTCCAACCCTTACCCCAGCCCTGCCAAGGCCACCCCTAACCCACGGTGTGTGAGCACTTGCAGGGACGGTGGCTGCAGCCCTGCCCTGTTCCAATGCCTGAGCATCCTTTGGGGAAGGAATTGTTCCTCAGCTCCATCTAAACCTGCCCTGGTGCAGCTTGAGGCCATTTCCTCTTGTCCCATCCCTTGTTCAGTGGGAGCAGAGCCCAGCCCCTCCTGGCTCCGTCCTCCTGTCAGGTACTTGTAGGGAGCCATGAGGTCCCCTCTGAGCCTTCTCTTCTCCAGACTAAACCTCCCCCCCCCCCCGGTCTCTCAGCTGTTATGTATGAGCTTTATTGGTTTGATGTTTCATTTTTGAGTTCTCTCTCCCTTGTGGTGCTTTCATGTTGTTCCCCATTGCCCCTTTTGGCAGTGCAAGCCATTCCTCTGCTGATGGCTGCAGTGTAGCCTCTTGAGAGGAGCAGCTCTTCGGGGACACCTCTGTTATCCAAAGAGCTGTGGCTGTTACGTGCAGAACTTGGCTGTTAAAGACCTGAGCTTGTGACCTGGCTCAGCCTCACTGAGTCCCTGGCAGATGATCCTGTCTTTGGTGCAGGATGTGCATCCTTCTTCCTGGGCTCCTCATGTCTTGAGACACCCACAAATGGGAGTGGGTGAATTACATGGCTAAGAGTATGTATGCCACATGCGACAGTACCTCACCCCTCCTGCCCAGTGTTAATGCCTGTAGACACAGTGGGATTAGGTCACCAGGATCCTGCTCATCAACTGCCAGATGTTCCCATCTTCACATCTGATGAGCTGCAGAGCACGTGCAACCACCTCAGAAGTGCAGAGCAGGAGCTGGCAGGGAAATGAGAGGCAGCAGTTCACAGCAGGCAGCGGAGAACATCCAGCACTGAGGCCGCACAGCATCTGGGTGTGCAGAACAGCTGAGCAGTGGGGGAAACCCTTCCTCAGGATGGAAGAGAGAAGATTAGGACCTTTCACTAAGGGTCTTTAGTGAGTCTGTGGATCCAGACGTGTTGGGTCTCACTCCTGAACCTGATGTCTAACTCTGCAGAGAGAAGTGACTAGGAGCACCCCCACCTCCTTCATTTCCTACATGATCAGGCTTTTCCCTGCTTCCTCTGGTGTTGGTCCAGTCTAGCTGTGGAGGCAGAAGTAGTACAAAGCCTTGGACAGTACAAAGTACAGCTTGAGTAGGAAGGGAGTGTCCCTGTGTCTGGATGTGAAATGTGCTGCAATTGAAATGATGCGAACATGAAACCCTCCACAATGTTCTCATTGCACTCCTGTTGTGACAGGCAGAATGGGGGCTGTCTCCTCAGGCTGTCACCAAATTGTCATCCTCACCCATAGCAGAGAACCCAGGTGAGCTGTGGAGCACACAGCAAGGCTTTGGCAATGCAGTGTGGCCCTTGGTGGGGATTTGAGCTGGGCATGGAGGCCACTTGGTCTCCTGCTTTGTCTTTCAATAGCTATTGCAGTAGCTTTTAAGGAAAGATGTCTAAGAAAGGCTACAAAGTGGGGTTGATTGCTCTTCATCTGTACTCACAGCCTAACTCCTGCCAGCTACAATGAGACCCTTTTGTTAGAGAGGAGAAGCTGGCTGGGATTCCCTTCTCAGCCACACGCTTCTCTGTGATTCATTTATGACACTGAACAAGATGTTTGCACGCTTTCTCTTATCTGTAAGGGCAGTGATAGTGGTGATTTGATCTCACATGTTCCTCCTTGTGTTTGCTTGTGTGTGCTCTGAGGCCAGGGCCCTGAGAGGTATGTTGCCAGCAGGAACTGCTAGCTTTATTTGGTGTATTGAGGTTAGACCTATTATATTGATAGACCTGTTATATTAATGTGCATCAGTTAGGCCCAGAGCCAGTAAAACACGAGCATCACAGGCCTGCTGTTCTCAAGAGGGAAGTCTCAGAGAGCTGGAGTCACTCTAGCTCCTTGTAGGTGACTTTCCACCAGCTAAATATTGATGTAATGGTGAAATTTTGCCTTATGTTCCCAGTGATGGGAACACAGGGGAATGGGTGATGTACCACTGGAGTTTCTCTAGTTCTTTCCCATCCTCACCCCTAGTGCCACAACCACGGGTGCTCACTCAGCTTCATCAGCTCCCTGCTAATCAGTCCTTATTGTTTTCTTTTTGGTTTGTTCAAGACCTGCTCTGAATCAGTGAAGGCCAAAGCTGCCAAGTCTGACTGGCTGCGAGGTCTCTTCCTGCCCAACATCATGCTCTTCACAGACAAGAGATACTTCAGTGACAGTGAATGGGACCGCCTGGAGCATTTTGCACCTCCCTATGGCTTCATGGAGCTGAATTATTCATGTGAGTCCCTCAGGACGTGTCAGGATGGGACCATCAAACTCCCAGCAGGGACCTTATGCCAAGTAGCTGCAGGTTTGCAGCATCTCCCTGTCAGAGGCATCAGGCTAGGTGGATCTTGTGGTGGAAACTGATGGTTTCACTATGTCCATCCCTAAGGTTCTTAATGCTAACTCTCCACTGTTTGCTTCCTAGTGGTGAAGGAGGTGATGTCCCTGCTGCCCCCAAATCCCCACCAGCAGCTGCTCCTGGCCAACAGCACCAGCAGCAAGCCAACATGCATCAGCTGTGCTGTTGTGGGGAACGGAGGAATACTGAATAACTCTGGGATGGGCCAGGAGATTGACTCCCATCACTACGTCTTCCGGTAAGGCAGGCTTCCTTCTTAGAAGATACACAGCCAGCTTATTGTGGCTAGCAGATAACTGTGCTGGATAACTTCACTGAGTCTCAGGTGCCAGCATGACTGATGAAAAACCAAAAAGGAATTGGAAAGTTCCTAAACACACAGGAAGAGCCTGGGATTCACAGATAAGCCATAAAGAGCCATCTCCAAAGCAGGGGCTCTCCTTCAGATCAAGATGTGTAGTTCAAAATGGGCTTAACAGTCTCTTATTCCAGACTGATGTTGTCTTTTCCTGTTAGGAACATGGATGCAAGGGTTTGCTCACCCACTAACTCGGCCTCTCTGTTTGATTCCCTTGGCTAGGGTGAGTGGGGCTGTCATCAAAGGTTACGAAAAAGATGTGGGAACAAAAACCTCCTTTTATGGATTCACAGCCTACTCCCTGGTGTCCTCTCTCCAGATCTTGGGACACAGAGGCTTCAGCAACATCCCACAGGGAAAAGTAAGTCAGGTCCATGCTATCTGCATGCACAGCTTTGATGGGATGCTGTTAGTCTGTGGCCTTCAGTTCTGATCTTGCCGTGCATGAGGAGCAAAGTGGCTGAGCCAACACTTTAGCTCAGTGGGAACCTGCACTGGTGTGGCTCTGAGTGAGTATTTGCAGTGAGAACCTGCGTCAGTCCTGCCCCATCCTTTTGGCTTGTGGAAGTAGCTGCCCATTAGATGTTTTCTCCATTCTGCTTCTGTGGGGTAGTTAAAAGCTGCAGGCTGAAGATGTGGGTCTCAGAAGCAAAGAGCCTGGATGCCTGCTTGCTTGTTGTTTTTAACATCTCTTGTGCTGCTCATTTTGTGCTCATTTGTGATGCTCACTTGCTTCCTAGCATGTCAGATACATTCACTTCCTGGAGGGAGCTAGAGACTACGAGTGGCTGAAGGCTCTTCTGCTGAACAAGAACATCAGGAAAGGATTCTTGAACCACTACGGGTAAAACAAGCTAACCCCACCTCTGCACCCTTCAGTGTGGAGCTCTCTGTTGTGCCCTTCTCCTCTCCCCAGTGCTTAGCCCTGCTGAGGTGCAGGCCAGGAGAAAGCCAGGTTAATGTCTGGAGAAGTATCTTCCTTCTCCACACCTCTGAGCACTGCTGTAACCAATACACCTCCTTCCCTGATTTCAGTGATGTGTGGCCAGAGCTTGGAGAAAGCTTTGTGGTCCTCTGGGATTAACACGTGCTGTTGTCTGGTCTGGTGTCCATACATGGTGGCCTACTTGTGGATGAAGGCCTGGTTTCACCAGTTCTTGCCTGTGCACATGGATTTGATATTCCTGTCTTCTGTTCTTGCCCCTTCTCCCTGATCTCTTCCTCTGCAATGCACACAGGTTGTGGAGGCCTGGTCATGATCTGTGAAATGATAGAGACTAACTGAAGTGTTTGTGGTGGTTCTGTTATCACCAAGTGTATCAGGGCTGGTGCTTTCCAGCTGTGATGAAATACAGGAGCTTGTCCTGAGTCTTCCCATTCCTGTCCTTAGGCAGAGGCCCCGGGAGAGATTTGAGGAAGGTTTCACGATGGACAGATACCTGGTGGTTCACCCTGATTTCCTCAGATACATGAAGAACAGGTGAGCTGAGGGTTATGTGCTCTGTCACTGCCTTGTTTCTGGCCAGCACCATCTCTGGGCTCTCTCCTGCCAGCTCACTCCCTTGAAACTGCAGCTTAGCCACCCCAGCAGGCTGGGGGTAAACTTCACCAGGGTGCAGTCAGGTAGAGTTCTGTGGTGCTGCAGCGGGGTGTTAGTGCTGGCTAGACATACAGCACCTAGAAAAGCAACAGCCATGGGATAGTTTGGCTTTCTGCATCCCAAAATGGATGCAAATGGCAACTTCAGGTGTGGGAAGTGTTGCTAAAGTGCCAGAATTCAGGACCATCCTTTCCTGTTCCCCAGTGCTTAAGCACCTTGGAGGAAGGCTCTGTAAGAGCTCTTCTGAGATCTGTTCTTGACTTGGGAGGTTGGTTGTGCCCTCAAACACCGTAACAGGCACTTCCTCAGTATCCCATTTGCCTGCCCTGGCTGTTGTTTGCATCTCTAAGCCTTTTCACAAGCCTCCTGGAAGATCTGCCAATCGTGGACCACACGTGACCAAGAGATGCAGGAAGAGCTCCTGTGGTGCCCTGCTTTGGCTGTGTTTACCCTTCAGTCTCCTTGAGAGCTGCTATGCCTTCTCTGAGAGAGGACAAATGCAGTGCCAGATGGCTTGCACCTCCCTGCTTTCCTTTCCAAGGCCAAGAGGACTCTAATGCTATTTTTGCCTTGGTGTGGACTCCTGCCTTCCTAAACTGCTGGCATAAACCACCACAGCTCCTAGTGGGATTTGTGACCTGCCTCTGCACTTTTCCTATGCCTTGTTTCACCCCTCAGTGTGGATGGGGAGCAGGGTATATTAGTGAGCTTCAAAGCCACTTCTGTACTGCAAGGCAAAAGACAGATTTAAGAATGGGCTTGGACATCCTTTAATCCCCCTCTTTATCCCCACTGCCCCAAGACCTACCACTTCCATAAAGCTGGGGCAGAGCAGGGCTTAGGTTGCAGTGCAGGTGCTGGAGCATTCTAGGCTGGCCTTGTGCTTTACTGCCCATGCAGCAGTACCCACACATGTGGGCTTGTCTAAAATGCCTTGTATGGTCCCACAGTGCTGCAGGGAGGGAAGAAGCCACACAAGGGGACAAGATGTGCCTGGCATGAGCCACCACCCCCAGCAACTGCTCTGTGCTTTCTGTTCTCCTGCTGCAGGTTTCTGAAATCTAAAACACTGGAAAAGCCCTACTGGAGGCTCTACAGACCCACAACAGGGGCCTTCCTGCTGCTGACTGCCCTCCACCTCTGTGATCAGGTAAGGGCATGATGATTCTTGCACTCAGTGCTGTCTGGAAGAGGAGGCAGGAGAACAGGGTAGAGCAAGGGTGGCTCCAACCCTGCTTACCACGTGCCTTGAGAGTATATAGGTTCTTGTCAGCTGTGGAGGAGCAGATTGAAGAGAAACACCCCCAGATAGTTCACACAGGGGACGTGCAGCCTGCTGAGAGCTACCCTGCATCCTAGGGAGAGGACAGCAGGCTCTCTGGAGCCAATGTTTGTAGTCTGGTCCTTCTAGACCCCCCCATGCCGCATCACCCAGAGGAGCCCCGAAAGACACCTGTCCTGTGCTCCCTCTCCATTTGGGAGCTGTGTGCTGTACTCCACTGGCTGCCTCTCCTCAGTGAGCCCTCTGTCTTTCCCAGGTGAGTGCCTATGGCTACATCACGGAGGGGCACGAGAAGTACTCGGATCACTACTATGACACGGACTGGAAACGTCTGGTTTTCTACACCAACCACGACTTCAACCTGGAGAAGGAGGTGTGGAAAAAGCTTCACGATGAGAACATCATGAAGCTTTACCAGAGATCCTGATTGTGTGGGTAAGGGCCATTGCCTGGGGAATCTTTCCACCTCTCTGGGAATAGAAGAGGACCACCAGAGCCAAGGTTAGGTCTGGGCTTCCAGGCACATTTCATGCCCACAAAGGTACTTGTCTCCTTCAGCACCTCTGTTCTCTCAGTGCTGCTACAAATGAGCAAATGCTGCAGACCAGGAGAACAGCAAGAAAATGCAGCACGCCACCAAAGAAATCCCAGCTGGCTGTGCTGCAGGACTGTTGCTGATGGTGGATCTTGCTAGCATATGGTCCAGTGTCATAGAGTCACAGAATGCATCTTCATCCAGGTTTTCTCTGTTTGCAAGGAGAGGCTCCTCAGGCTGGGGCTACTTCTGTTCTTGGTGATCATCTCTGTGAGTGGTGCCTGTCTTGGAGCTGGGTGTATTGTCTGAGCAAGCTCCCTCAGCAGCCAGTGGGTGCACAGATCCTGTCTCAGGCTGACTTAATTCCTGGAGTGCTGCTCTCACTCCATGCAGATAGAAAGGATGGATGGATCATTCCAGGTGACTAATATGAGAGAGGATGTGTTTCACTTCTGCTTCCCAGTGTAGTCTCATGATGACACCTCCAAAGGAGCACTCCCATCAGCTCCAGAGCAGGTAAATGCTCTCCATTGTGCAGCAGGGGTGCCAGACCTGGTGCCACTTGCTCTGGGCCTCCCCTCACTGCAGAACAGGGGAATTTTGGGTCCTGATGTGCCAAGTCCTTGCTTGGCTGGGCTTTGGCACACTTGGCTCCCAGCTATGCAGGGAGCACTGTGTTTGTCCTTTTGCCAGGAGAGGTAGGAGCTCTCCAAGTCCAGGCATGGATGCTGTCCCCATCGTGCTGAGAGGAGCGCAGTTAAAGTCAGCAAAGCTGCAGCATGTTGGCTTCTGAAAGGGCTTGTGCAGACAAAATAAATGGCACTACTTGGGCCAAACTGATTTTCCCTTGTAGCCCTGTGGCTTGTGTTATTCAGTGTGTCCAGAGCTGATGCTTAAAGGCTGAGAGAATGGAGGGTGAAGCCAGGAAAGGGCAGGACTGTTCGTGATAACGCCTCTGCAGCTTGTGTGGATATACCTGAGCATCCCCAACTTGTTCCCCTTGCTATCCCAGGACAAACACCTCCTGAGGAAGTGGGTAAACCTGGCAAGTTTGTCCTTGTCCCAGCAACTCTTCTGTGAGTACATCAGATGCTGGAGACAAACGCACGAAGGACAGGCTGCCTGGAGGGGGGGTGAAGTCTCTGCAAGCATTCCAAACCTGCCTGGACCCGTTCCTGTGTGACCTGCTCTGGGTGGTACTGCCCTGGCAGGGGTTGTGCTGGATGATCTCCAGAGGTCCCCCCCAGCCCTGCTGATGCTGGGATTCTGTGTGACTCTGTGGTGTTTCCCCTATGATACCGTGCAGGCAAAACCCCCTCCCAGTGTCCAGGCAGGTCCAGTGCAGCTCCTTGGGCTCCTCAGGCCCTGCACTGGGCCCAGCTGCACATTGACTGGTCCCAGTGGACCTGCTCTGGCTGTGAGTGGTTTTCCTTTCCCGCAGCATCCTGCCAGGGGCAGCAGTGTCTCCAGGGACCCCTGGGCTCCCAGAGGCAGTTGAGCACGGTTTGTCAGCAGGGTTTGTCAGGCCTCATTTCCTTTGTCCCTTTATCCCCTGTGCTGCAGAGAGGCCAGGCAGTTTCTCATGTCTCACTAAGCTTGTTTGCAAAGGACAACCTCCCCCATTGATAATCTACGTGAAGAATTGAGTTTATCTGGGAGAGGGTGTAGCCTGTGTTTGGCTGCTCTGCCTGTACAAGCCCTGCGGTGACCGTGGGAGCAGGGAGTTATCTGGAATGCACTGTGCTTCTGTTGGGAATGGTGGATGTAGCCCCATGTGAACCCCAAATCCATGGGAAACCACGGGCTTTGGAGCAGATCTGGGGAGCAAAGAGCCTCCCTGTGAAGGGGGAGCCTGATGGAGGCTGGGCAGCCCCCAGAGCCCACTGAGGACAACCGAGGAGCTCGGGGTGTCTCAGCCCCTCGTGGTGACCGGTGTCCCCTGTCCCCAGGCCCTGCGGGCTCTCCCTGCCCAGCACTCCTTGGCTGGGCTGAGCCACATTGCTGTGGGTTGCTTAGTGACCAGCTCCACACTGTTCTTCCTGCCTGAATGGGGCTTTTCTCTTCCCCAGAAGTTGGAAGAAGTTTCTCTTAGGCCCTTCCCCCTCCTTCTCTTTTGTTTCTGGCTCCTCTGGAAAGCGGGATGGGGCTGAGTCCTGCAGAGCAAAGGGATCATGGTGGGCAAGGAGGCTCTGGGGCTGGCAGCCCCCAGCCTGGGTTTTTCCCTAGTGCCCAGCTCTGAGGCTTCCCAAAGTCAAGGGAAGGAAGCTTTCCCAGGAGGCCGTTTGCTCCAGGCTTTCCTCCCATGCAGCTGGCACAGGTAGATGGTACCAGGGATAACCTTGGCTGGAGGAGGGCCTTTGCTGTGCTCTGGGGTTGCCCAGCAAGCTCAAACCCACACCCTCTGTGGCTCCAGAAAAGCAGCTCTGGCCTGGCCCTGCCCGGCCCATCCTCACTTGGCTCCTGTCCCAGTGCACCGAGGCATCCTGTCCCACCGTGGGCTGACAGGGCACACATGGATACCCATCCCATGGAGCACAAGTCCACCAGAGCCACCCCGCTTTGCAGCCAGGTCCTAAGCAGTTGAGGGGCTTTGGAGGTGGCATTTCCCAGCCAGGTTCTGGGCTGGCACAAACCAGTGCAGCAGAACCTATGGAGAGCAGCAAGAGCTGGAGCAGCCTTGGACAGAGCCGGGTTTCAGGACTAGGGGAATGGCCCAGCAATGCTGCAATGCCAGACCAGCCCCAGCCTCCTCTGAGCAGCTGAACAGAGGCAGTGCCATGGTTCAGGGCCACCCCAAATGTGCCCAGGCAGGTCCATGTGGCTGGCAGGCACTATTGTCCCAGTGCCAGCAGGTGGCAGCTCCAGTTCAGGACCTGTCAGCATCCTGCTGCATCTGGCACGTCCAGGTTTGGCACAGGCCGTGTCCCAGCGCTGTCCCAGCCCTGCACTGCCCACCCTGCATCACGCCCTTGTCCCCCAGTGTCCTTCACTTTATAACACCTGCCTGCCCATAGCATTATGGCCCGGGAGCTCCTTGGGGCATGCAGGGACATGCACAGGAGGAGTTCGGTACCCACAGATGTCACTCTCTTGCAGCTGCAAAGCTGCAGCCTCGGCTTGTGCAATGTGATGTGGTGCTGAAGGCAGCACAAGTGGAGGGAGCAGCCGTGGGATCTGACATCATGAGACATGCCTCGGACACAGCGGCTCCTCCTCATGTGTGGCCGCGATACCTGGTGCCTGGAATCTGCTGTTGCATCAGCCCTGCCTTATTGGGAAGCTGTTGGTGAGTACCGTGAGGGCTGTTACAGCGTGCCCGGCTCCTCCTGGGGCTCCCCAGGAGGTAACAGCCTCTAAATACCCCCTGTTGTGGGGACCAGATCCACTGCTCACCGTGTCACCTTCCTGCCAGAGCTTGTGTTTGGTTCCACCTCTTCCCTTTGTGTGCTGGGACTGCTCACTGCTGGCAGATGCAGGGACCGTGTCCTGCTCATGGGCACAGGCACGTAGCTGCTTGGCTGGGGCCTGAGCAGGAGGAAGCAGATGGGGACTTGCTGGGCTGGGGGACCAGGATGCACCCTGAGGACATGTGGGAGCGGGGTTGGGCTGACCAGGCCTGGGGACACCATGTGCTAGGGCTTGGGGTGTCTGCTAGTGCTGGCAGGCACCACCAAACCCTGCCTGGCGCCACACAGGGCTCCGAGGCAGCCTTGTGCCGTGGTGGCACATCCAGATTGTCCCTCCTTGCTCCTTCCCAGGCAATCGCTCTGGAGCAGCCCTGCCTCACTGGGTGCTGTGGGGCTGTGCCTGCTCCAGGTCACAAACAACCCAGATGCCGTTTATGTTCCCCAGCTTACAGAGATGTTTGGGGCAGGGTGGGGGGTTCATTCACCCTCCTCACTCCCCTTGTCCACCTTCTCCCTTTGCTGGGGATGTGGCAGCAGGGAAATGCAGTCAGACCAGAAAAACGGTTGATGATAGGGGCATGAGGACAAGATAAAGGAGCAGCCCATGGCCTTGTTGTCAAAAAGCCCCAGGTGACCTCAGGGCATCTCACCTTGTGCCCCTGCTCAGGGGCTGTGGTACCGGGGCTCCTCTGCCAGGCTGAGCAGCAGCACCCTGGGGGCTGTGGGACTTTCTCAGCTCAGCCTGACCTGGCCCTCGGGCTGCTAAAGGACCTTGCTGTGTCCCGAGGGCATCCCAAGGCTCCCTCCATCCCTCCCTCCCTGCAGCAGGGGTGGACAAGGGGCTCGCTCAGTGTCCCCTCTCCCAGCTGTGTGCTTTGGGGACAGAGCCTGCCCTGACCCCTGGACCATGTGCTTTTGAGGCTCCTGTGTTTCAGCTCACCTCAGGCACTGTTTACCCTGCTCGGAGCAGGGCAGGATCAGCTCCTGTCTGCTGAGCCAGCAAGACGGGAGAAGGCAGCGGTTTGGATCCGCACCATGGTTACTCCAAGGTGTTTCCCAGCTCTGCACCCCTCCAGGGCATAACCCAGAGCCCCACAGCTTGCCCTGTGCCCGGTGGAGATGGGATGGCCTCCTGGCTGTGCGTTGGGCTTATCTTGCCCTAGTCCATGGTCCAGGGCTGACCAGCGGCTCTGCCATGCGCACACATCTCGTCACTGTGGTAAGAGCCAGGCTGGGCCCCAGCAGGGCCAACAGGAGTCACCACATACGAGGTCCCAGCCTGCTACCTCAGCCCGTGGCTTGTCCCCACAGCCCTCCTGCTTTGGGAGGGAGCAGGAGGGGACTGAAGGGTGAGTTTGCCCCAGGGGCTGCATCCTGCCAGATTGGATCATGGAGGGGTCTCTGTTGGAAGGGACCTTAAAGCTCCTCCAGTTCCAACACCTTCCACTAGAGCAGCTTGCTCCAAGCCCCTGTGTCCAACCTGCCCTTGAACACTGCCAGGGATGGGGCAGCCACAGCTTCTCTGGGCACCCTGTGCCAGCGCCTCAGCACCCTCACAGGGAAGAAGCTGGGGCACATCAGCTCCATTTCCCTGCACAGCTGCATCCCAGAACCCCTTTACCTGCCCAAGAAGCAGAGCCCAGCGCTCAGGGCTGCAGTTGCTGTGGAGTGATGCTGAGCACAGCCCTGAGCATCTCTGGTCCTGCAGCTGGGTGCTGCCATCCCACCGGGGTCCCCAGTCCTCCATCCGGTCACTTCCCCACTTCACCTGCTGCCTCTGGCTGCAGTAACACCTAAAACTCCAAGCACAGACCATTGGGGAGCATCCGCAGGCAGCATCGGTGTTGCAGGCACTTTACCTGACCCTGTGTCTGTGTGGAACCTGGGGAGATGAGGTTTGACCTCTGTTCTCTGTGCTCCACCAGGAAGGGGTTGTGCATCAGCCTCCCGAGGCATCTGCTGCCCAGTTTGTCCTTGATTTCCTTAAGGCGTCCCTATGGCACCATGTTCTCCAGAGGGGCTGACACAGCGACACATTCCTACACCCAGACTTGGAATTTCGGGGCTATTCTCCACAGGCAGCTCTTGGTCACGTCCTTAATGCCCCCGTGCCCTGTGCTGAGCAAACGGGGATATGGAAGCCCTGCAGGAGATCTCTTTCTCCCAGCTGGACGGTTCATACGCCAAAGACCACACGAGTTCCCCCCACCAACCCGTGGCCAACCAGCAGCTGGTGTGAACGGTGCTGATTTTCCTCTCGCTGGCCATGTGGAGGGCTTGGGGTTTGTTTCCAAGCTGTAATCACTGGAGCACAAAGCCCAGGCTAAAAATGACGCTTGCTGGTTTTCATTGTGATTTCTTTTGTGTTCTTTGCCTCATCTTTATTTGGCAACTCTCATCCTAAAGGGGTTTTCACACTTAACTTCTAAATTAAGCACCACTTAATGCTGGGGCATGGACCAAGTTGCATTGTAGCGCAAAACAAGCGGAGCAGATGAGGAACCAGGCATCTCATTTTCACCCTGTTGAAAAAAAACCCCAACAATAGAAAATCATCTCTCATGGGAACGGAGATGGGAGCGATGTGAGGAAACCAGCTCCTGCAGCCCGCAGGGCAAATGCACAGAGCTGCTGCCCCACCATAGATCATAAAATCTTCACAGAATTCCCAAGTGGTTTGGGTTGGAAGGGACCTTAAAGCTCCTCCAGCTCCAACCCTTGCCACGGGCAGGGACCCCTTCCATAGAGCAGCTTGCTCCAAGCCCCTGTGTCCAACCTGCCCTTGAACACTGCCAGGGATGGGGCAGCCACAGCTTCTCTGGGCACCCTGTGCCAGCGCCTCAGCACCCTCACAGGGAAGAGCTTCTGCCTAAGAGCTCAGCTCCATCTCCCCTCTGGGAGGTTCAAGCCATTCCCCTTGGCCTATGGCTCCAAAAGGCAAATTCCTGACTCTCCCCAGGCTTGCTCTGGACCATTGACCATCCACCTCCAACACCAACCCTTGCAGGGTCCCCCCCGTGGCTCGCCGGAGCAGTTGGTAATAATTAGCTGTGATTAATGAAGGGCCAGAATCAATTGCACATGAGGAGCTAATCCATCAGCTCAGAGCAAACAAGGGCAACCCCCAAGTCACGCTGGTGGGAACAGGCTCCAGGCTGCGGGACCTTTGAGCCCAGCCCCAGGCTCTTGTCCCTGCTCTGCTGGACCTGAGCCTTGTGATGCCCCCATGGGCTGGGATCAGGCTTGGCTGGTGGAGGCAAACCCCATCCATCTCTCCCACCAGAGCTGCCCTTTGCTTCTGGATTACCCATTAACTCCCTCCCCTGCCTGACCTTCTGCAGGGGTAGCTCCAGCTCAGCTTTAGACCTGATTTCACCCAAGTGGTGCTGGTTTGGTCTGTCCTGTCCCTCCTGCTCCTTGCCTGCTCCCCACAGCTCCCTGTGCAGCAGCAGAGCTTCATCCCTGCACGTCTGCTCTGAAACCAGCCCCATGTGGTGACCCCGGTCCCATGTCCGCTCTCCTGGTGGGACAAGGCCAGCGCTGCCAGCCTCGGGGTGCAGACCTGCTCCTGTGGTCACATCACAGCACGGCCATCAATGGAACCAGGGCATCCAGTGGGTGCCATCCACGCACAGCCAAAATTCCCAGAGGACCAAGGCTGGAGATGGTGGGAGCTGCAGTAACACAGACACAGAGCGGAATGCTGCTTGCTTTTACCTCCCTTGGAAGGAGCAGCACCATCGGGAACGTGCCTGGGCAGGCAGGAATGGGAGCGGGGTGTTGCTGGATCCAAGGGGATGAGAAGGGTTGGGAAAACGCTGCTGGCCCGGGGGTGCACGAGGGGAGCAGGGATGGGGGCTGGCCAAGGGTTCTTGGATCCGGATAACTACAGCGGGTATTTGGGATGGGGCTGGAGGTGGGTGACACCCGGGGTGATGTGCGGTGGGCGCGCAGGGAGCCGCGGGTGCAGGACAGAGGGATTGCACGGAGCAGGGCTCACCACGCTGCTGCTCCCCTGGGCTGGTGCTTCCTGAACATCCAACACTGCCCTGAAATCACTGCAGAGCCCGTGAAAGCTCCCGTTCTCCTTGCTGAGCCCCTTCCCCCGCCGGAGCAGCTTCTGGTGTGCATCTCCTTTGGTATGCATCTCCTTTAGTTCCCAGCGCTGCTCTCTTTGTTTAGGTGAGTTCAAGTAAAGCCATGTCGAAACACTCTCTCACCAAGAGGGAACTGAAGCATTTCCTTCCCCAAAACACCAAAATGCTTCATTTGGATTTCCCCAAAATCCCCCAAACGCGGGTTCCCGTTCCCCATCCCTTGAACTCAAAGCCCTGAACCGCTCTGTTTGCTGCTAAACCGCGTCGGGAGGGAGCCATCCGGCAGCACCACAACAGTTCCCCCTCCTCTTTCCTCCCCTTTGCCTGCACCCCGGAGCCCGGCTTCCCCCGGGAGCTCCTCTACCAGGGGCTAACCCGCAGCAGATGCCTCCAGCCGGAGCCGGCGGTGGCTGCGCAGGGTGGAAGCGGTGCTGGAGCCCAACAATAAGTTATGGAAAGGGGAACCCTGGGCGCTGGGGGAGCGGGCGGGGGCGGCGTGGGGAGGTGCAGACAAAGGGGCCCGGTTCGCTGCCGGGTCAGTAAATGTTTAATCCTAGCGCGCACAGAAAGCGGCTCAAAAGCGCTTTTTCTCGCCGCGAGTCTGAAGCAGGCGGCCCGGTGCCTCCTCCCTCCCTCCGGCTCGCTCCCTCCCTCCGCAGGAGGATCCCAGCCCGCTCCAAGGTGCGGGACGGAGCCGGGCTGCGAGAGGAGGAGGAGGTCGGGAAGTTTGTAGGGATCCTGCGCTGCTCCCGCGGTTGAGGTGCCTGGGATGGGGTCTCCGCACTGGAAGCGGCTCTGCCTCCTGCTCCTGGCGGGGTTAACGTCCTCCCTGCTCCTCTACGGTCACTACTACGCTACGGTGGAGTCGCCCAGCAGCCAGAGGATCCTGGCCAGGCAAGGAGGGGAAGGGGAGGCGGGATGTGTGGATGAGGAGTCGTGCACTGGGACGGGGAGGGGGCATTGGGGTGCTGTTGGGGTGCTGGGGCGGGCCCTTTAGTGCAGGTTATCCCGCTGTGCCCCCGCTTGATGGCTGCTGTGGGAAATGTGCTCGCAGCAGGTTCTGTCCCGTCCCCCCCCCCCCTCCCCAAAGGTGTCCTGGGCATCTCCGAGCCCAGGGGTGCCCAGAGCGGGACCCCGGGGCCGTGGGGGGCTGCGGGGGTCCCCGTGTGTGCTCATCCCATCGCAGTGCAAAGGAACCGCCGCTGGGTGCAGGGGTGCTCAGTTCCCAGCAGGATCGAACCCCCTTCAGCAACCTCTGCATCCCCACTGGGCTGAGTGAGGATCGGAGCCGGTTATCCGGGGGCAGGTTTGGTCCCCACGGAGCTGCACCGATCCCTGGGGCTCACCCGACCCCTCGCAAACTCCCAGGGGCTGCAGCACCTCCCAAACCCAGCGATGTGCATCTCCCTCTTTGTGCTCCCTGCCTCCGGGCATCCCCCGGCCTCCCGGGCATCCCCGGCCTCCCCAAACCCTTTTGGGTCTCCTCGGTGCCGAGGTCCCGCAGGGAGCCCTGGGGAGCGTGGCTGAGCAGGGGTGAGGGAGCCCGCACAGCACCTGCCCTGCAGCTTCGGCCGCCCTCCTCTCCTGCGAGCATCAGGTGATGTGCGAGGAGAGTGCCTTGGGTGTCCCTCGCCTCCACACTGGGTGCTCTGGGTGCAGCAGAGCACAGCCGCCTGGGTGCTGCCCGGGAGCAGAGGATGCTTTGGGGACCGGAGCCAGCCCTGTGCAGGGTCCAGAGGCTCCTCTCTCTTCCCTGTCTGGGAGCTGGGGCTCTCCTTGCCCCTTCCTGTCATCCCAGGGCAGGGATCCCCCCTCCACCGGGCTTGCGCGGCAGCAGGACCCCAGCAGCCCTGGCAGAGGTTGCTGTTTCCCCCCCTTGCTGTGCTGGCTGAGCAGAGGTGCCAGTGGCAGCAGCGCTGGTGCTTGGGGCTGGGGTGTGAGCAGCTCCCTGCAAAGAGCTTGATGAGAGCTCATGAGAGGGGAACCTGAGGCCCATGGGGGCAGCAGGATGTGCACAAGGACCATGCTGGAGGTGGGAATGGGAACCAGCCGTGCCCTGGCATAGGGTCTGTGGTCCGTCCCAGGAGCGGGGTGTGGAGGAGACCCATGGGGTGGGTGCTGGGAGCAGGTTCCTATCACTGCCTGATCCTGCCCCAGCCCCGGGTCCCCCACTGCAGAGCCAGCCCAGCTCCTGCCCCACAGCTGATGGGATTTGAGGGTCAGCTCCTCCAGCCCCAGAGAGGAGCCTGGGGCAAGGTAACGGGGAGCTGAAGTGTGCTCCAAAGCTCTCCTGGGCTTTTACTCTTGGCTTTAATTCAGTTGTTAAAGCAAGACCCAAACCAGAGCAAATCCTGTTTGTGGTTACAAACACGCTGCCCACAATCACTCTGGACCAGGACCAGAGGAAATCAGCACTGCCTGGCTGAGGGATGCGGGGCTGAACAGGAGGTGATGCTGGGACAGCCGCTGTGTCACGCACTGATGTGCACAGAGCACACGCTTCCCACCCTCACACCATCAGGGGAGGTCACGTTCTGGCCAGGAGGTTTGGGTGAGCTGTGTCTATGCAGGGCCACAGAGAAGTGAAGGGGGTCAGGAAGAAGCTGAACCCCTCACTGATGCTGGTACCAAATCACCCAATGGCCAGACACCCATGGCAGTGCTCTGCTTCAGCACAAAGCTGGTGGCGGCGCTGAGGCCCTATGGAGATGGGTGAAGTGCCCCTGTCCCTGCGGATCCGACCCCCCTGCGGCGTGCAGCCAAATCCCTGGAGCCCCGGGGTTCGGCTGGGCACAGCCCTGTCCCCTCCATCCCCAACCATCTCCGGAACAGCACCAGCGAGCTGCTGGCACCGCCTGCGGGTGATTGCGGGGCTCTGCCCAGCCTCCGGTGCCGCTGGCTCTGCGCTGCTGGAAGATGCTTTCTGGAGCCCGGCGCTTTGCGGTGGGATGAAGCAAACCCCCTCCCGAGAGCCGGTTCACGTCGCTGCTCCTGCTCCCTCAAAGAGCTCTGCGGGGCCCTGGGCCTGTTTGCTGAAGATAAGGCAGGGCTGTGTGCGCAGGGCGCTCAGCTCTGTTATCTGCCAGGCCTGCGGGGCGGCCAAGGACCGCAAACGTCAGCTGGGAAAGCCGCGGCGGTGCAGAGCACACCCAGGCTTGGCCGGACCCGGTGCTGCCCCGGCAGCCGCGGCCACTCCTGCCCCGCAGCCCCATTGTGCATCGGCATCGGGAGCGTTGTCACCGCCTGAGTCAACGCGGCGGCACGAGGCGCTCCGCCACATCCTGGCGCCTGACGTCAAAGCCGCTCACCCGCTGCGTCTGCACAGGGGGGCCCTGGCAGGGCCAGGATGGGGCCTGGCTCCAGCACCCGCAGTTGGGATGCGGGCGCAGGGCAGCACGCGGAGCAATGAGGGAGAGGCCGTGGCTGGATGTGGGACCCATCAAACAGCAGCAGGCGCCAACTTCCTTGATCCCAGTGGATGGGGGCCTCCGGCATCCCAGGCAGCAGAGCAGGACCCTCCACCGGCAGCACCGGGGTCTTGCATTGTCCTGGGAAGGAGAAGGGAATGGTGTGAAGCAAGACACAGGGATGGGCAGTGATGCGCAGCTGGGGCTCATGAGCCTGATGGGGACGGGGTGGGGAGGTGATGGGGTGGGAGGGGCTGTTTGTGTCAGCTCCTGGGCACGGAGAGTGAGGGGAGCAGCTCCCATGGGCTGTGTCCCCATGGCCAGGCAAAAGGTGAGGGGGCAAAGAAGGGTTTGGTGCAAGGAGGTTTCTTCAGTCCCTGGTCTGTCGCTTGGGTGCTGGTGCATCAATAGGCTCCTGCCGGCAAGGCCCATGGGAGCTCCGGTGCCATAGGGATCTCCAGAGCTCCCTTGCAACCCCTGATGATCCTGGCTGTGTGTGATGGAGGAGGGCAGCAGGGCTGGGGGCTCCCTGGGGTCCTGCAGCACACGGAGAGATGCAGCTCCATGCCCCTGTAGCTGCTGCAGGACTCTCGCATGGGGGAGCTTTGCTTGGCTGTGCTGTGCTGTGCTGCTGTACCTGGCAGAGCTGGGCTGAAGGAGCAGCCTCCAGCGTTATCACGAGGGCTCCTGCAGCCTTTGGGTGGCCTTGCCCAGCCTTGCTGAGCACCATCCTGCCGGGAACAGGCAGGTTTGCTCAGGCTGGGCTTGTTGAGATGCTCACAGTGGTTTGGTAACACCAGGAGGCAGCGGTTCCAGCATCAGCCTGGGTGGTTCAGCCCCACATTGATGGATCCTCTCCAGGGATTTGTCCTCCCTCCTCTGCGCCAGCTCCAGTGCTCCTGGATGAGCCTCAGGGATGAGCTGGGGGCTCTCCCTGTGCTGGGGTGAGCTCTGGTGCCAGCACCTCTACACTGCGCACAGCAGGAGGGCTCCTTGCTTGTGCTTAGAGGGCAGGATGTGGCCATGGGGCAGGGCTAAGCTGGGGACCCTGGCCCTGGGCTGGAGCATGTGTGTGCTCTGCAGGACAGCGGTTCCTGCTGGGGAGATGCCTTTTCATGGCAAGATGGTTTGATTGAAAGAGCTGCACTGGCCATGCCCAGCCTCTGCGCAGGGACACCTGCACCCTCTGCATCGCCTGTCCAGAGCTGGGTGTTCTGGGATGGTGCAAAGAGGGAGCTGGGACTAAATCATAGAATCAATCTCGGGGTGGTTTGTATGGGAAGGGACCTTAAAGCTCCTCCAGCCCCAACCTCTGCCACGGGCAGGGACACCTTCCACTAGAGCAGCTTGCTCCAAGCCCCTGTGTCCAACCTGCCCTTGAACACTGCCAGGGATGGGGCAGCCACAGCTTCTCTGGGCACCCTGTGCCAGCGCCTCAGCACCCTCACAGGGAAGAGCTTCTGCCTAAGAGCTCAGCTCAGCCTCCCTTCGGGCAGGTTAAAGCCATTCCCCTTGGCCTGTCCCTACATCCCTTGTCCCAAGCCCCTCTCCAGCTTTCCTGCAGCCCCTTCAGGCACTGGAGCTGCTCTCAGGTCTCCCCTTCAGGAGCCTTCTCTTCTCCAGGCTGCCCCAGCCCAGCTCTCTCAGCCTGGCTCCAGAGCAGAGCTGCTCCAGCCCTCGCAGCAGCTCCATGGCCTCCTCTGGACCCACTCGAGCAGCTCCAGGTCCCTCTTGTGCTGCTGCTCCTGAGCCGGGTCAGGGCTGCAGGGGGGGTTCACCGGGTCCATGCCTGGGGAGATGCTCCAGCCCCAGCCAGGCTCTGGGCTGTCCCCTGTGTCCGGCCATAGCCCGTGGCACGGAGCAGGGTTTGGGTGGCGAACGAGCCTGGATGCCCTCCTGGGCAGGGCTGTGGGTGCCGCTGGTGCTGACAGGGGCTGTGCTGGCCATGGAAACCCAACGCTGCCGCGCTCCGCTCCCCACCTGCCCCTACCTGTCCCAGTGCCGCAGGCGGAGCTCCCAGGACAAGGGGCCCTTGTCTCCACCACAATGCCCCCGTTCTGGCCTGGGCACCTGCCCCTGCCGGCACCGGGGGGCTCTGAAGGGCTCTTGTGTGCGGGGATGAATGGGAGCCTGTTCCCCTCCGGTGGGCTCCCACCTCCTGCCCGCCAGGCTCTGACCCTGCCCGGCCCCAGCCCCACATCCCCCTGGGGCTGGGGCTGCTCTGCCTGGCTCAGGGCACCCCGATATCCTATGGAGGGAACCCTCTGCCTCTGTCCCTCAGCATTCCTCAGCTGGCCCCGTGGCAAAGGGTCCCACACACCCCAAGAGCCTCCAGACTCCAGTTATCGATTGCTTCTCCAGTCCCCCACCTCCCAGCTTGTCCCAGCCCTGTTGTCTTTGGGCTTGGGAAGGGTGGGATGGTGGGGGGAGAGCCGCGGGGGTCTCAGCAGGGTCCCCCCCCAGGGGATGCAGGTTCTGGTCCATAGGGGTCCCGGCAGTGGGAGCCAGCAGAAGGCAGCCGCTGCCTGCACAGACCCTGTCCTTTGCAAGTCCTCTGCAGGAGGACACGGGGATGGGCTGGGGAGCAGGGAGGTGACGTGGTCCTGCCCCATGGATCTCACACCTGGGGGGGGTCTCGGGGTGCTCCCGGCTGATCCCCCCCCCACCTCCTTCCCGCAGCCTCCTGCAGCCGGAGCCGCTGGTCCTGGCTCCACCGGGGGCATCGCGCCGGGCCCTTGGAGGGGGCTCGAAGCCCTTCAAGCCTCCCACCGCAGCGCTGCAGGAGCCCAGGCCCAGCAGGAAGCAGGTAACCACGGAGTCACGGCACGGGCTGGGCTGGAAAGGACCACACGGTCATCCCGTTCCAACCCCTGCCACGGGTACAGTGACCCCGGTGCCCCCCCTTGCCGGGCGCTGTGGGTTGAAGATCCATGTGGGGAAGCAGAGGATGTGCAGCGCTGTCCGGCAGGGGTTTTGTGTGTGTGTGTGTGTGGTGACCTCCATCCATGCACATGGGTCTCCCCAGGCCTCCCTATGGCGGCTGCAGCATCTCCCTGAGCAATTCCTCAGTGTGGAGGCCGGAGCCAGCATCACTCGCTGCTACCAGCCCAGGCTGGAAAGCCATGAGGATGGATGGACCCAGGCTCTGGTCTTGGGCACGGGGGCTGATCTTATACAGCAGAGGCCTTCAGCAGGGTGTCCACACTGCTCTGTCATGAGGCTCATGCTCCCCGGTGGCTCTGCAAGCCCTGGTCCTCCCAGCCCCGGTGAGCTGGGTACCAAGGGGTGTTTCACAGCGGGAAGCCAAGGTGTGAGGCAGTGCCCTGCCTGGGTGACCCCGGACATCTGATGGACCACGAGCACTTCTGCCCCTGGGTTTGCCCTCCCCTCGGTGTCTGCTGAGGGGCAGAGATGTCCAAGGGACGGCAGACCCAGGCTGGAGACTGACCCAGGGTCCTGCTCCCCCCCAGCCGAGCGCGTGCCTCCACTCGGTGATGAGCAGAGCAAAGGCAGACCCCAAGTTCGGGCAGATCTTCCGCTTCGAGAGCCCGGTGCTGATGTGGGACCAGCACTTCACCCCGGACACCTGGGACAGGCTGAAGGCACGGCACGTCCCCTACGGCTGGCAGGGCTTGTCCCACACAGGTAGGGAGCCAGGCGGGATGGGGGGGCAGCAGATGGGGATGGGGTTAGGGGGCGATGGGAGGGTGTGGGGTGGTTAAAGGGGTGCAGGGAGCCCAGCAGAAGGGAGAGGAGCCCTGCAGGGACCCTGATCTGTTCCCACTCCTGCTCCCGGGCGCAGGACGTGGGTTTGCAAATGCCACTGCCTGCATCTTGTGACATTTCCCGGAATAAAAGCTCCAGTGTGTGCTCCGTTATTAACTGGGGCCGGGGGAGCTCGGACAACCCGGCCCATTGTGCTGGAGGGAGATTGTTTCCCTTCCCACCCCAAACCCACTCCTTGCTCTCCCCGGCAGCCGCTGGCTTCAATCCCTGCGCTGGGAAGTGCTGGGGACAGCGGGAGGGAGTGAACCGGGGGCAGTTGCAAGGAGACATTGTCAGGAAGGGACGTGGCCGGGGCAGGCAGCAGCGTCCGCAGGGCTGGAGATGTCCGGATGCATCCCTGTGCTGCTGGTTGGAGCAGGCTTTGAGTGTGGGGCTGGGGCACAAAGCCTGGGAGAGGAGGGACTGGCTGGTGTCCCCCCATCCCATCCCATCCCATCCCATCCCATCCCATCCCATCCCACCTGCAGACCACTCACCTTGTGCTGCCCCCGGATGTGCCCTTGCACCAGCTCACCCCTGCCTGTGTCTCACACCGAAGCGTGCGGGTGCTCACGGGGCTGATCCGCACCTTTTCCCACTGACCGGCCCCATCCTGCTGTGTTCCAGTGGTGGGCAGCACCCTCCGGCTCCTCAACACCTCGGCCAACAGGCGCCTCTTCGACAGGGACGGCGTCCCCGGGGGCTGCGTGCGCTGCGCCGTGGTGGGCAACGGCGGCATCCTCAATGGCTCGCGGCAGGGCACGGCCATCGATGCGCACGACCTGGTCTTCAGGTGAGGATGGGGCCGGGCAGGATGGGGCCGTGGTGCTGGGGAAGGGCCAGCCCTGGGCATGCATCCTGTGCTCTTCCCCCAGGCTCAACGGGGCCGTCATCAAAGGCTTCGAGGAGGATGTTGGCACCAAGATCTCCTTCTATGGCTTCACGGTGAACACCATGAAGAACTCCCTCATCGCCTACGAGGAGTACGGCTTCACCCAGATACCCCAGGGCAAGGTGAGGCCAGAGGGCTTGCTGGGGAGGAGGTGACCCCTAATTGTACCTCAGGGCTCCCCATCTCCAGAGCCCTCAGTCCTTGTCCTGCTGGTTGGGCAGTGCCCCAAGGGCCCCCCAGGTGCCACAGCTGTGTCCCCGCTGCAGGACCTGAAGTACATCTTCATCCCCTCGGATGCCCGTGACTACATCATGCTGAAATCGGCCATCCAGGGCAGCCCGGTCCCAGAGGGCTCGGACAAAGGGGATGAGTGAGTAGCCCCCAAGTTCCCCCCAGCACCTCCGGTGATGCAGTGGAGGGAGCAGGACTTGCCTGTCCTCACCTCATCTGCCCCTGGTGGGATACAACCCAAGTAGCCGCAGGGCTCCCGTGACACGAGCTCTGCCGCTCTCCTCGCCCTGCGCAGGCCACGCAAGTATTTTGGACCGGAGGCATCTGCTGAGAAGTTCAAGCTGCTGCATCCAGATTTCTTGCAGTACCTGACAACCAGGTGAGGGTGCAGGTGAGGGTGGTGGGCTCAGACCGGCTCTATCCTGCCACTGCTCTCCCCAGTGCAGACCAGTGGTGCCCAGCATCAAAGCACAATCCCAGCTCCCCCCAGGCACTGGGATCACCTCCACCCTGTGTTCTGCAAACAAGGCAGTGGCATCCCTCCCCTGCCATTCCGATCCACTGCAGCACAGCTCACATTCCCTCCTACACCTCGCTGTGCCTTGCCTCCCATTTCATACAATCCCAGACTGGTTTGGGTTAAAGGGACCTTAAAGCTCCTCCAGCTCCAACCCCTGCCACGGGCAGGGACACCTTCCACTAGAGCAGCTTGCTCCAAGCCCCTGTGTCCAACCTGCCCTTGAACAATGCCAGGGATGGGGCAGGCACAGCTTCTCTGGGCACCCTGTGCCAGCGCCTCAGCACCCTCACAGGGAAGAGCTTCTGCCTAAGAGCTCAGCTCAGTCTCCCCTCTGGCAGGTTAAAGCCATTCCCCTTGGCCTGTCCCTACATCCCTTGTCCCAAGCCCCTCTCCAGCTTTCCTGCAGCCCCTTCAGGCACTGGAGCTGCTCTCAGGTCTCCCCTTCAGGAGCCTTCTCTTCTCCAGGCTGCCCCAGCCCAGCTCTCTCAGCCTGGCTCCAGAGCAGAGCTGCTCCAGCCCTCGCAGCAGCTCCCAGAATGAACTAATTTTTGACTTTAACAAGAGCAGAGGTGGGGCCCACAGGGATTGTCCTTTCCTACCTTGGATGAAAGCAGGCACCTGCGTTGAGGCGATGTCAAACAGCAGAGAGGTGCCTGCAGCAAATGAGCTGAACCCTAGTAGCAGTCATCAGTGAATCCACACGAGCCCTTGCAGCTCATTCAGTGCTCCTGCCTCACTGGGCACATGCTGGAGGCTGGCAGGGGGCTGCTGGCTCTCGTGGCTTCAGCACCCCCTGATGTGCTGTGTGCTCCGGCAGGTTCCTGCGGTCGGAGCTGCTGGACACGCGCTATGGATCGCTCTACATGCCCAGCACCGGTGCCCTCATGCTCCTCACCGCGCTCCACACCTGCGACCAGGTACAGGGGCACAGGGATTCCCCCTGTAATTGGGGGGGGGCTTTGAGGAGCTGCTGCAAGCTCATGGTGGGGACCGGCCTGTCCACCCCACGTCCGTGTCCAAGGAGGCCCTGACCCTGTTCTTTCTGTCCCACCTCCCTCCCCGCAGGTCAGTGCCTATGGGTTCATCACCACCAACTACGAGCAGTTCTCAGACCACTACTACGAGGTGGAGAAGAAACCCTTGGTGTTTTATGCCAACCATGACATGATGCTGGAGGCGGCTCTCTGGAGGAGCCTGCACCGAGCAGGGATCATGACCCTGTACCAGCGGTGAGGCTGGGCAGCTGCCCACAGGGGCAAGTTCAAGGACTCCTGTGGCTCTTTTCCTCTTCCCTGAAGGCCACCTTCTCCCTCCGGAGGGCTCTGCCCAGCCAGCCCAGGGAGCAGCCCCGCTGCACCGCAGCCGGCAGTGGTACGATGGTGAGGAGCAAGCTGAAGCTGGTAGAGGATCCTCCGGGATCTCCAACAACGTTTCATGGCTCAGTGTGATTGTATGTGGCCTTTGGGGCACCAAGAAACACCGTGGCACGTGGTTGTGACCTTCCAGCCCCGTGAACATGGATGTGGGGCAGCACTGGCCCCTGTGAGGTTCAGGGTGATGGTGGAAGAAGATGCTGGAGATGTGTACCTATGGCTGGAAAACACCCTTCACCATCATGCTCCAGCTCAAATGCTCATCACCACAGTGAGACCACAACAGGTGTGATGGATCCTTGGAGTGGTGACTGGATCATCTTAGCAACTTGAACATGGTGTGTTTGGAGAGCATCTCCCTCCAGGCTGCAGGAAGCCCCATCTCCAGACAGCTCTGGATTGCGGTGCTGCTGTCCAGAAGGATCTGTTTGCCTCCATGACCAGCAGGAAAGACTTGGCTTGGCTGCCCTCTCCTGCAACAGACACACAGTGTGCCCTGTCATTTTGCCCTTCTCCAGCTCGTGGTGTTTTCAAGCAAGGCTTCAAAGCCATCAGCTGTGAGTAGGGTTACTGCAGCTCAGCTGGGACATCACAAACACAGCTGGACTTTGAGCATCCTGGAACTGAGAGTGGGCCTGCAGCCCACGTGTGCAGGGGAGTGGGTTTGGTGGGGATTCCTTCCATGGGGACCATGCGGTGCCCTCCAAGGGAGGAGGCAGCCCCAAGCCAGTTGGGTGATGGACCCTGAGTGATCGTTACTCCTCCCCAAAAGCCCAAGGGGATGATGGTTTGGAACCCATCAGCCATCCCATGTAAGGCAGTGCTAAGGAAGACCCTCTGGGGAGGCTGCTGCAGCCAGTGTTGATGGGGCACTGCAGAGGGGGTGGCGTGACCAGACTTTCCCACTCTGTAACGACATAAATGCTGACTGTTCTTTTATGCCTGTTTCTGTTGTTTCTATGAGGGGGTGAGGCCTCTGCCTCCCACAGCAAAAGGGCTGTAGCATGCAGCAGTGAGCCTTTGGCTGGGGAATAGCCCCAGTCACAGCAATGGGGCCACTCCCCCTCCAGGGTTAATCCCTGGAGCCCTAGGTGGATGGCTGTGTTGGATCTATGGGAGCAGCTTCCGATGACGGCCTTTTTCCACTTGGGATGCTCCGTGCTGTGCATCAGCTGAAGAGAACAATTCACGGCAGAGATGGCAAGAGATAGGCAGGCTGTGAGCCAGGGAACCTCAAAACCCCCTCGAGCTCACAGCAGGCTGATTTCAGCCAGTTCAAAGGAGCAGTACAGAAGGTTGGCTTCCAATTCAGATGTAATCTCAAGCCTGGAACCTATCTTGTGTTCCCAGATCTCAAATTAACCTTTGTTTGCATGGGAGCCACCTCTCAACAGTACCAAGGCAGCCTGTCAGGCCTGTTTTTTATTCACAAGCACTCAGCAAAACCTCTTGCATGACAAGAACAAACCTGATCCTCACATCACCTGACCAGGACAGCACCAAAGCCTCCCTAAACCAGCTCGGGCAAACCTCAGCAAAGCCCAGGGAGGTGACTTGGACCATGGCAGTGCCTTGACACACAGGGCAAAAAGAGGTTTTACAAATGAGCAGTCCCGGTGCAGATTCCTGCCAGGAATCCCATCCAGCTCATGGGAAGAGCTCTTTGTGCACATCAGGAACTGCAATTCCTTTTTCCTTTCCAAAAGGGGTTTCCAAGCTCTGTGTACCCTGCCCCAAATACACTCCATTTGACCAGACAAGGAACCCTATGGTTCTACTATTGATGAAGACAGGCTGAGAAAGTTGGGGCTGTTCAGCATGGAGAAGGCTGCGTGGAGACCTCAGAGCAGCTTCCAGTGTCTGAAGAGGGGCTATAGGGATGCTGGGGAGGGACTCTTCATTAGGGACTGTAGTGACAGGACAACGGGTAACGGGTTCAAAAACAGGGGAATAGATTGGATATAAGGAAGAAGTTCTTTACTGTGAGGGTGGTGAGGCACTGGAATGGGCTGCCCAGGGAAGTTGTGAATGCTCCATCCCTGGCGGTGTTCAAGGCCAGGTTGGACAGAGCCCTGGGTGACATGGTTTAGTGTGAGGTGTCCCTGCCCATGGCAAAGGGGCTGGAACTGGTTGATCTTAAGGTCCTTTCCAACCCTAACTGTTGTATGATTCTGCTACTGCCTCTCTCCTCTTCTTCCTCATCTTCAAGCTTCCAAGCAGAATACAAGAGCCATTTCTGTCATCAGACCTGGCTTAGCTGCAAGTCATTTTGTCACACTGCTTTTCCTATGTTTCCCAGCAGTTCCTGCTATCATGAAGCGCTTTTCCAACGTCTGCAGGCACTGAAGTCTTGAGGTATTGGGGAAGAGCAGGTTTTGCTGTAAGAGTAAGCTCACAACTGCTTGCATTTCTGAAAGGGTTTTAACCCCAAATCCTTTCTCCCTGCTCCAAACCCTTTCTGCTTAAGTAGATAACCTTGACAAAAATAACCAAACTTCAACTCTGATTTTCCACAACCTGTTTTATTCCAGAACAGCAAACAGCAGGGAAGCACTTCTTCCTCCTGCCAGCTGCAGATCGGGTCCTAGGTGAGAAAAGACAGTGTCAGAGCAGAGCAACTGTCAGCTGAAGAGCTCCTCATCTGCAGTAATCAACAGTTCAGCATTCAGGAGACAAAACTGCTCCCCCCATAGCCAATGGCACTAGCACCCAAATCCTCTTTGGCTTTACTGGGAACTTACCCACGATGGGGCTGCAGTGAGGAGAAGCCTGCAGTTACACACTGGTGGCCATTTCACCCTGTTTCCAACGGTCTCTCAATGGCCATTTGTGAAATCTGCTCCAGAACCATCTTCCTTCTGCTGCTTCTAGAGTTGGGAGACACCACAAAGCAATGCTGTAACTGCTTTCCTAGAAATACTTTGCTCTGAAACCATTCCTTTTTCTCAAAGCACTTTTCCCCCCCTTCCTCCTTGGAAGCCAAAAGCCCCACATGCTCTTCCCAGTGACTGGTCCCACCTGAACACAGCAGTACTGACAGAGCAATCACTGACTGTTGGTTTGTAGCACCATTCCCTCACGTCCTGCACACCAACCTTGGTTGTTAAGGAAGTCCACTGTCACCTCTGTTGGCTCAGCCTGTCAGGAAGTGTTACTGATCTTCTGCAAACAAATACAAACTTGTTAAATAAAGCATGAAATTATTTAGCAGAATGGAGCTGTCAGCTACCTGGAGACAAAGTGCTGCTACAGCCTGGGTGTTCCATGACTGTACATTAGGTGAGAGAAAGCCACATTTCTTACCTGCCCTTCAACCTGCTGCTGTGCCTCCCCGGTTGAAGCAGCTTAAAAGCTCTTCACAGATCTAATCTGTGCTGTGGCAACAGCAGTTACTTCCTGTCCTGAGCCTTGCTGTACTAGCGAGCCTGTGAGTCTGGGACAGAACTTGTGCATCACCAGGGCATGAATGGGAGAGATGCTTCTGCCCTACTGGTACCACTCCTGCCGCTGGGAATCTTTGCTAGACGTGTTGAGGGGACATAAGCCTCAGTGGACAGTTTTCTCCCTCACAGCCGAGACGTCGGACAGGGATAACGACACATCACAGGCTTGGTTTCTCTCCTGCCCTTGGCTGTATGAACTCCTTAAGTTCTATACAATTCCATACAAAGACATCCAGATGCTGCCCCAGTGTTTTTCCTGATGACTAGTATTTTTCCTGGTAAGCATTCAAAGACAGTCTGCTCAGCAATGACTCGTGCTGCCCACACACACATCAAAACCCAGCAGCACGCAATACCAAAGCATTCTCTTACCAGTCTGAAGCCCGACTTGCTCTCTTGCCAAAGCTGTCTTTGGGCAGCAGTACAGCCCCAGGCCTCTGCAGGATGATTTCCTCCTAAATACAAGTTTTATTGAGCACTGTTAGCAACAGCATTTCACACTGGGTCACAGAGCAGGAATTAAAGACAGGAAGGTTTCCATTCAGAGGCAAATTTTGTCTCTCAAACTCAGCACAGCAGAAACCTGTCCCTCAGAGACAAAGGAACACGTTTGCCAGTGCATTGTGTCACTCAGACAAGAAACTCTGGGACATGGATGCTATGTAAATCCTTCTTATTAATAAAACCCACACTAACCCTGTGACTTCAATGGTTTAGATCCTTTTTAGCCACCTCAAGCAGACATCCTCCTCACCATCATAAACACCTTAATCCAACTCCCTCCTTAAACGCAAGAATAATCCCCTCCTTTTGGATGTAAAGTGTCTCTGAGTCTACTTGATCAATACATCCAAGCAGACACAACCCTGCTGGGGAAGGATTCTTCAGGGTGTGCCCTTGCTAGGACGACCCTTTGGTGCATGAGAACTGCACGTCCCCATGCCCAGCAACCTGATACAGGTTTGAAACTGTCTCAGTGCACCTTCGGGTAGGCAAACAGAACAATTATTCTTTCACTGGGTCTACCGCTGCACAAATACAGTTATGAGATGAGCTGTGTCAGGTGTCTCCATAATGGGCTGTCATCCAATCCCTCCTAATCCTTTCTACTCCTGCTCATCTTTGACCACGCTGACAAGCAGCTGCTCTACTGGGCACCAGCACCAGTCAAATTCCCATTCATTCGGGGCTGCCTGTCAAGTTGTGCTCCATGGCAGCAGAGAGCTCCAGTCAGGTGCCAGCTGCAACAAAGCTACAGCCTTCATTGGCTTAATTACATTAATCAAGCATCGGGCTTTTATCCCTCCTACCAGTAGCCCCAAGGACATATGGGCTATCATCTGACACAGCACAGTGCTGTTTCCACAGCCCAGTGAGAGGCAAAACCCACACTACAAGACGAGACTGCTGTTTCTTACCATGGTGCAGGTTTAGTGTTGGTCCAGTGAAGGAATCAGCTTCCTAAGCAGGTGAGTGTTTTCACCCTGGCTTTGCACCCTGCCACACGCTGAAAGAGGAAGGAGCCAGTCAGCTCATACAACACACCATCCCTTTACCTCTGTGTATTTAGTGCTGAGCCTCAGAGCTAACCTTCCACAGAGGAAAGATCAATTTCAGACAGGGATAACTTGTATCATCACTAGCTCAGCTTCCAGGGCAGCTAAAACCTGGCCCACACAGGTCCACCCCAAGCCTGTTCTTGGCTCTGCGTCTGCCTCCCTCCGGACCAAGCGCAATGGGAATGATGGCCCTGCTCGCTCAAGCTCGCCGCTTGCAGGGTGCTTAAAGGCAAGCCCTGACGCTGTACCGGTGGCAAGGCGCGGGCTGAGTTATACCGGTGCTCTATTAAACACCCTCCCACGGGGTAGAACCGGGATGAGCGTGGTGGGGCAGCGCCCGGGCCAGGAGCATCCCCGCACGGAGCGGGCCGGAGCCCGGCCCTGCCGCCCTCACCCACCACAGCGGGGGGGGGGGGGGCGCCCCATTACGTCCCCACAGGCAGCTCTCAAGGCGCCGCCGCCCCGCAATCGCCATTACCGGCAGCGCGCAGGAGCGCCCCGCTCGTCCCCCCGCTGTCCCCGCGCCGCCCGGGACCGCCGTGCCCGCGGATGGCTGCCGATGGCGGCCCGCGGTACTCACCGCCCGCCGCACCGCCGCCATGCCGCCCGGAAGGGAGAGCGGGCAGGGAAGGGGCCGGCTGCGCTGCCAGAAGATCTCGCGAGAGGAGCGGGGGCTCACGGGAACGGCGGTGCCGAGCCTCAGCGCGGTCGGTGATGGCGGGCGGTGGGGAGGCCCGGTGCGGTGTGGCGCGGTGCTGCGGTACGGGGTGGTTGGATGTGTTTAGAGCAGGCACTGGGGAGGGGTTCAACCGTGTGAGGGTGCTGAGGCGCTGGCACAGGGTGCCCAGAGAAGCTGTGGCTGCCCCATCCCTGGCAGTGTTCAAGGGCAGGTTGGACACAGGGGCTTGGAGCAAGCTGCTCTAGTGGAAGGTGTTGGAACTGGAGGAGCTTTAAGGCCCATTCCAGCCCGAACCAGGCTGGGGTCCTGCACCCTCAGGCATTTGTATTTGTTCATTCTTGTGCTTTGTTCAGTAGGGAGGCACACACGGAATCACAGGATCAGTGAGCTTGGAAAAGCCCTTTAAGCTCATCCAGTCCAACCCTTACCCCAGCCCTGCCAAGGCCACCCCTAACCCGTGGCACTGAGGCCTCGTCTCCACGGTGTGTGAGCACTTGCAGGGACGGTGACTGCAGCCCTGCCCTGTTCCAATGCCTGAGCACCCTCTGGGGCAGGAATTGTTCCTCAGCTCCATCTAAACCTGCCCTGGGGCAGCTTGAGGCCGTTTCCTCTTGTCCCATCCCTTGTTCCTTGGGAGCAGAGCCCAGCCCCTCCTGGCTCCATCCTCCTGTCAGGCACTTGTAGGGAGCCATCAGGTCCCCCCGAGCCTTCTCTTTTCCAGGTCCCCCCAGGTCCCTCAGCCGTTCCCTGTGCTCCAGGGTTGCACTTGGCTTTGAAAGGCTGAACAAGCGTTAGCTTGTGTAGGAAGGGGCACACACAGGTGAATTAGCAGGAGACTGGGGTTAGGCAGAGGTTAGTTAGTACATATATGTGTGTACTTTGTGACTCCTCCAGTCTGTGCAATGCTTTTGTTTCGATATTAAAACCTGCCATGACATCTATAGGATCCTGTTCAGCTTATGCCAAAGTGTAAGTGTAACCAAAGGGAGGAAAAATAAGAATCACTAATGTGCACTTTCTTGCTTCAAAGCTTTATCCGTCCTTGTGGTGAAAGGCTGCAGTGACTGGAAAGGGAAAGCAGACAAGTCTGAGTACAGGTAAAACCCCATATCTAACTGGTGTCACCCCTGAAATGTCTGAGACAGGGGGGGGGTTCCCTGTCCTTCTGGGTGTCAATCCAAGATATGCTCATGGAAAGCTGCCCTGTTCCCCACAGCGACAGCAAGAGTAAGCTTCATTGGTGTTGCATGGCATGGCCACCTCCTGTTGTCTGACCTGGCTCTGGGATTGCCAAGTCTATGAACACAGCACCCGTGTTATCCGAGTCCCGTGAGCTCCGTGTCTTTGCTCCTGGATCCCTCCGATGGCAGGGAGGTGGCTCCGTGCTGCCCACCCCGGCTGGCCCTGTGCTCCAGGAGGCCCTTTTCCAGGCAAGGCAGTCAAGTTCCCAGGGACAGGCAGCATGACTTCGTGGGTATTTTTAGTGCCTGGATCCTCCTGGCCTTGTTCCTGTTTTAGAACATGAGTTTTCTTTCCAGAGCATAGATTTAACCCGACCCGTGAGTCCTTTGCCCTCCAGAATGCCCCGTGTTGTCTCTTCAAGTCTCTCTTAAGTCAGCAGACTGCAAAAGGCATTTTGTTTAATTCTGTTTTCTTGCAGTGGTGCAAGGAGTCTATAAAGAGATGCCAACGTGCTGTTAAAAACAAGCTGCTTCCAACAGAAGTGGCTGCTAGGAGGCCTTCTCCAGCCCTCTGTGTCCTCTGCTAGCTGCAGAAAGCCTAGCAGGAGCCTGGAGGAAGCAGCCTGCAGTGAGTCCCATCCCCTGGGGTGGGAACATGAGAGTTTCAGCACCTCCCTGTCCCGCAGGAGCCTGTTGCACAAGTGTTTGGCCTGGTAGGAGAGCAGATGATGATACAGAATGGCAGCAGTTAACAGAGTCTTCATTGCAGCAGCCTTTGCTTTGTGGAGATGTGGCTGGCAATTTGCCTGACTACTTTTAGCTTTCTGAATAAGCAAATACACCAGACACCACAACTAGAATTAGTCCTTTAATTCCCTGAGGGATAGAAGGTTTATTTGGTTGGGTTTGGTTTTAATACAACACTTGTGCAGAGTTCAGATCCTGGAAAGAGGGAAGATGGAGACTTGGATGTGCTGAGGGATTTGCCACCATCTTGGGGTTTGGGTGGAAGCTCTCAGAGTAACTGCTTGTGCCTACAAATGGATGAGCAATGCCAGGTACCAAGCTCAACAGGTAGATACTCAGGAGAACAGCATGAGCAAGTGCCCAGTCATTATGCCTGGTTTTGGTGCATAGATAACATGTCCAAACTATTTCGGAGGCAGAGCAAACGCTTTGGATGAAGAGCCATGGTCAGCACCTCGCCCATGCCCATTCTCCTAAACCTCTGCAGCTTTGCCTGTGTGGGACTTAACTCAGTTTTCTCAGCTCTTCCCTTTAGAGGGCGACCATGTCACACACATCTTGGGCGTGCAACCTTCACCCGGGAGCTGCAGTACAAGGCAAAGCCTCCCAGAGGTCAGCAGAACATGGTGGCTCTTCTCAAGAGCCTCTGAGCCTTCCTAGGAGAGCGAAGTAAGTGGTGGTCTGCTCTGAACTTGTGGTTGAACATACTGTTCTTCCTCAGGCGGTTGCAATGCTGCTCCCAAGGGCAATCCTGATAGACTTCTTGTGGCCAGTCTCCATCAGTTACGGCATTTTCTTGCTCCAGTCTGAAAGGTTGAGCAAGAAGGAAAGTTATTAAAAGGGCAGGGAGATCTTCTACATGTGGATGTTTTGGGGCTGCTCATTTTCCCAGCAGAGGATCTGGAGGGGATTGTGTCCTCCAGAAAATCATATGCTACCTTAAGTCCCCATATTCTGCTTTCCCAGGGTGCTTCAGTATCTGTTGTGCAAAGCCACAGTTACCCTCTGGTTATCCTTGCAGTAGGTAACAGGAGAATGGGTAGAATATGTGCCAGAGAAGGGGAAGGCAGAAAGACAAACAGAAATCAACAACAGAACGTCTCCAGCATCAGCTGGGCTTTGATCCCATGCTTAAATCAAAGGACAAGGCCTCATCCCAGTTTCCCACCCATTTCCCCTCTTGGCTGCCTGTAAGTCTCTCCAGGGAGATGCTGTCCATGCTTACTGACAGCAAGTTGATTTCCTCTTTCTTTCCTCCTCTGCCTATCCTGGTCCCACTGCAGATAGGGTTCCACAAAGCCTGGGGAAACAAAGCATCTGCTCACTCAGAGATGCCCCGCTGTGGTTCTCATCTTCGACATATGGCTGGCGGAGGCAACCAGGGTATCTGAACACATTAAGAAGCTAGTCCCCCACGGCTAGCTGTGTCTGGCTGGCATCAGCCCCCTGTGTGGCTTGATCCTATGAAGCACAAGGAGATGCTGAGGTGCAGGGGGTAGCTAGATTGATGCTTGCCTCATGCTGTGTGCACAGCAGCGCACAAAGACCAGTCCCTTGGTGGGGATTGCTGGGATTTCAGGTGCTACACTTCCAAGAGAAAAATGTGTAGGGTTTCAAATAAACCTGCTGTGAGGTCCCAGATCCTGGTGTCTGCTGCTCAAAGCAGGCCCAAGAAATACCAGAAGGGCTCTTTGGAGCTCAGGAGCATACAGGCAACATCTTTGCACACAGGACAAGGCATACTGCAAACAAAATGTCGTCTCCCAGCAGCAAAGCCCTTAAGACTCCATTGAATGTTAAATACATGCTTAAACCCATTCCTCCTCAGCTTGTCCTGTGTGCTTACATGGAACTTTAGCAGGCTCAGAAATGCTCTGCTCTAAGTAGGGCCTATCTAAAGGCTGAACCTTGTATACTGAATAACAAGAACTTTACATAAGATCTGTGGCCTTTTCTGGGAGGGTGGTGGTATCTGCAGGCAGGGCTATGATGTAGATTTCTGCAGGTGCAGAACATAAAAGGTTCTTCTTTCTCCTCCTGATGGTGCTGAGCAGCCACTCAGCTGTTCCTCTCACTTCCCCTTTTCCTCAAATGAAATTTGGGCACAGTGCAACAAAACCAGTCTTAAGGTCCTGTCTTCAAGTGCAACAGGGAATGGAGCTTGAGGAGATCATGTCACAGGAATGGAGACAAGCTGATCGACTGATTCACTATGAATGTGGTGAGGCACTGGCACAGGGTGCCCAGAGAAGCTGTGGCTGCCCCATCCCTGGCAGTGTTCAAGGGCAGGTTGGACACACGGGCTTGGAGCAAGCTGCTCCAGTGGAAGGTGTCCCTGCCTGTGGCAGGGGTTGGAGCTGGAGGAGCTTTAAGGTCCCTCCCAACCCATTCTATGATGACTGACTTGATCAGTTCAGGTCAGATGTCCCAGCTAGGCAAAGTGACCATCCTGTCAGAGCTAGCCAGACTGCATTCACAGCTTCATTCCTTGCAGGAGCTGATCAGAACAGAGCACACAACAAACTGTTCCCATTGCAGTGCCCGCATCGCTAAATCCTGGGGCCAGACGTATGCATGTGTTGAGTAATAGCAATAGGAATCCAGCTTCTTCATGGATGACTATGTTTAATTAAAGTATATATCCTCAGAGCATACCTAGAGTTGGAAGATGTGTACAGCTACATAAATGCACTCAAAGCTGGTAGGAAAAAATGCTGTAAAGCTAGTGAAACAAGGAGGAAGATTTCCATCATAGAAAGGCCAAAGCTAGATAAGCAGTTACCAGGAATGGAGAGTTGACCTTGCTCTGGGTAATAAGATGGATCCTCTCTATTTTCTGTGTCAGCCTGAGAGATTAGAGGGTAAAGCAGAAGGGGTTGGTATGAAAGTATCTAGGCAATATTAATGAGGAACTTCTCAGGTCCTCTTCTATCACAAACAGTAGTTCTGTTTGCTTGGATTACTTGGCCAACCAGCCGTTGATTCAGTCAACCCAGCCTGCACTGTCATAGAAGCAGTGTTTCATTTACCAAGCTTAGACACAAGAAATATGTGAGGCACCCATGGAGCAAACAAGAATATTTTTGCAAGTAATGAGCATAAGCTGCACTGAGGTCAAGAGGCTGTGTCACAGAGCACAATCTAAATCCCAGCATTTATTCCTCCTGAAGATGGAGAATTGCAAATGCCCAATCTCTGGCTCACCTCTTGCTTCTCCTCATTTATACCAGAGGAAGGAGATAATTGTTTTGAGGTGCTTTAGAGAATAGCATCTCTGCTCCTTTCATTGCTTAGGGGGAAAAGAACATGTTGAAATGGTGAAAGGTCACGTTATTTCAGGACCACTTAGGTTGTTTCTCTTGCCCTTCTGCAGGAAGAGCAGCCCAAGTTCAGAGGGGTAAACAGAGGCCTCAGTGGTATTAGTCATCCATTTCCCAAGGAGAGGTCCAGAGTGGGTGCTTAGGGAAGTGCAGGAGCAGCGTGGTTATGTGTGGTTCATCTCCCAGTAGCTTCCCAGCCACCAGCCATTGAGGGGTGGGAAGGTCAAAGCCAGGTGTCAGTTCCGTGCCTCACTAATGGGTTTTCTCTGGAATGGAGATTTCAGTGACTTTCTTTTCCTTGACCTCACTCAGTGCCCCTGTGAACCTGTAACAGCCATTCCCTCCTCGGGGAGGACTTGCACAGCTCAGCCCGTGCTGCGAGAGGGTCCAGCTTCCTTTTGTCTGTTCTGTTGCGTTTGATGGCCCCAGGTTCCTGTACAGGAAGAGACCATGAATGGTCTTTCCTACTTTGCCTGTGTGGGCAGAACTTATGGATCTACTTATCCTTCCCCTCTCTTCAGGCTCCTGAGTCTGATCCCTTCAGAGGAGATCAAAGAGTGAGGGTAGCACTGTTTTAAACCACTGGTTTCCTACAGAATGTGATCTATCCACTTGCAGATGGCTTTTATGGTCTCTAAAGCCTCCCATGGATAAGCCCACAGTTGACTGTATAAACATTTTCCCTATCCCACATCCTGCTTCCACAGCATGTCTTGTACTCACTTCTCCATCCTTCCACTCAGTCCAAACATCCTGCAGAAAGCCTCCAGCTCTCCTTGACAGCCTTCCTCGCTCCGTTTCTCCCCAGCCTCTGCCAGGTTGCAAATGAAGCTCAATGAACCCAACCCAACCCCAGGTTCTTGGAGACCTGCCCACAAGGGAGAGATTCAAGTGCCTTTCTTTCTGCTTTAACTACCAACACATGTCGTGCTGCTTTGCTGTAGACCTAATGCTTCTGCTGTTGCATAAAGGTCCATCTTCAGCCATCTCTCCCCCTGCACATTGCCAGTGCTCTCCTCCCTTCCCTCAGCTGTCATCTCGAGCAGCATCACAGCTGAAGGAGGTGGGTGGGAGAACACGCACCGAGGAGATGGTTAATCTCCCATAGCACTTGTGCTCAGGGATGGGAGGGCTCAGCCACATCCTCCTCCTCACCACATCATGGGGAGAAAGCCCCACCACAGCTGCCCTGCATGTGGGGGGCGTTACTAAGGCTTACAAAGGGTTTTGGGGGGTTTCCTTTTGCCAGGTAAACTGAGGTGGGGTAACGGGGCCGGCATGGGTGGTAGTCTCAAACCACAGCACCTGATTTACCAGAAGCTGTATGTGAAGTGCTGCTGACCCGGAGGAGCTGGCAAAGAAGTGAAAACAACCCCCCCCCCCCCATCCCCTTAATCATTATTTAAACAGTATGAAGGTCTTTGTAAATGTTTAAAACAACAACATGGTTGTGAGGGGAAGGAGGAAAGACAAGTTTGCTGTTTCAGCTTCACAGAAACAGATCCTAATTTTTGGCAGGGTTTTATTCATCCCGAGGACCCAGCTGCTAACATGCTTTGGGAGGCTCCAAATTCATCATCTCATCTTCCTCAAAGAGGCTGCAGCTTGGCACGGGCACCACCTCTGGTATCAGCCCCTCATGCTATAGGACGCCAGTTCATGACCAGGGCATCTATGCAAGGAGTCAGCGGCTGTGAGTGCTCCCAGCAATGTTTTTCTTTCCCAGACCTAAGGTTCATGGTGGTCAAATCTCAGTGGGAGCCAGGGAGCTCCAAGAGGAAGGTGCTCTGGGCTGGCTGATGCTGAGGGTGCTATGCCTGCATGTGAGCAGTGCAGCTGGAAAAGAGAAGGCTCCTTAAGGGGGGACCTTAGACCAGCTCCAGTGCCTAAAGGGGCTGCAGGAAACCTGGAGAGAGGCTTTGGACAAGGGCCTGTAGGGACAGGCCAAGGGGAATGGCTTTAACCTGCCAGAGGGGAGACTGAGCTGAGCTCTTCTCATCATAGAAGGGAAGGCAGAAGCTCTTCCCTGTGAGGGTGCTGAGGCGCTGGCACAGGGTGCCCAGAGAAGCTGTGGCTGCCCCATCCCTGGCATTGTTCAAGGGCAGGTTGGACACGGGCTTGGAGCAAGCTGCTCTAGTGGAAGGGGTCCCTGCCCGTGGCAGGGGCTGGAGCTGGAGGAGCTTTAAGGTCCCTTTAACCCAAACCAGTCTGGGATTGTATGAAATGGGAGGCAAGGCACAGCGAGGTGTAGGAGGGAATGTGAGCTGTGCTGCAGTGGATTGGAATGGCAGGGGAGGGATGCCACTGCCTTGTTTGCAGAACACAGGGCAGCGGGTCCCAGTGCCTGGGGGGAACTGGGATTGTGCTTTGATGCTGGGCACCACTGGTTTGCACTGGGGAGAGCAGTGGCAGGATAGAGCTGGTCTGATCCTGGCTCAGCTTTCCCTGGAGCTGGGGGAAGCTCTGGTACTGCTTTGCACCAGAGCCTGAAGAGGGATGTGAGGGACTCCCCTGCTCGTGGCAGTCCTACCTCTCTCAAGTCCTGTTCTAGTCATATCAGTCACTGCCCACAGACAGCACCAGGAAAAGCTCTTGGTGGGGTCTCCTTTGGTTTTCTAACTTCAGCCAGCTCCTGTGCAGAACCTACACTGAGATGAAAGAGACTGACACAGTGTGAAACCTTCCTCCTCTTCAGCAGATGGTGTTTGCGACAGTGGACTTTGCTTTTGTTGTTGTAACAGAACGGCCTGGTCTAGGCAAGAAATGGAGAAAGCTGCAGTGTGGTCTTGCTGAGACTGGTTTGCTATGTAAACCTGGCCTGAAAGCCTGAGTCACAGAGCTCCTGCTCCTTCAAGGATCAGGCTTTTCTGCCATCTCAGAAGCTGAAGTGCTGTCATGACTTGCCTGCAGTCAGCGATGTGTGTTGCAATGTGAACTTCATGTTACCCTCACAGAAAACCTAAATGCATGTTACCTGGGGTTAACCTTGTGTCACTGCCTTGGGCTTTAGCAGATCAATGCTCCATCTGTCCTAGCTGTGAACTGTACATGCTTCGTGCCTGAAAATCCTTGTGGTTGGAACAACAGTGCCCTTCCTTGAGTGAGCCATGGAGATGGTTTGAGTTATTGACTGGTACTGCTGCTGGGTGAGCCTGTTCAAACACGTCCTGCTGGAATGATGCACTGAGAAGGTGAAGCTGAACCTCCATCAGGCCCATTGCTGTCAGCCTGCGACTGCTGAGCACTAGCTGCAGTAGGTACTTTTAAGATAAACCAGAGTGGAGAATAAGTGTATTTCTTTGATACTGCCTGAAGATTGCCTCCTGCGTTGTGGCTGAGGGGGAACCTTGTTACCAGCAAAACCCAGGTCTCAGCTGGTATAAACCCTCCAAGAAACTGTGTTACCAGTATTTCTGACCTGGCTCTATTGCGTGCAAAATGTGAGCAAACACAGAGTAAGTGTTGTTCCCTCAGCTGGAAGGGCCAAGAAACCAGGAGCTCTGAGGCTGCTTGTGTGTCTCAGCTGATCCCAGGCCTCTCCAGAAAGTCTTTCCTCGGTTCTCTTCTGGCTGTCTCTGACCACGTCCCTCTTCCCAAGTAATGCTGCTGCTTCCAAATCACTGCTGGAGCTCTCCAGCCTGCATCAGCTACCTGAGCTGCTCTGCTCCTTGCTCCTCCTGGTAAGCAAAGACCCTGTACATCAGTCTTTAGCCTCCATTGAAAGCTCCTTTTGAGCCCAACAACCTGAGAAGAAACTGAAGAGTATGGCAGGGAGACTATTGCAGGCTCTGTCCCACATCAGCTTGATACCTGGGGGAGAAATTAACCCTCCTGGGAAAGGGGTGATGCACATCTATCTGCTCTGCTATTCAAGTACACGGCGGTCCCATGGACACCACCACCTCAAACCTGAGAGCCAGCTCAGGCCATGCAACCCCTGTGGGCATCCCTCCTCCCCCTGGCTCTGATAGCACCAGGCTTTCTCACAGCTCTGAGGGACAAACCTCACTTAGCCCTGACAAGCCTCAGAAGCCCATTCACAACAAGTCATGCGTGTCCCGTATCAGCACCATCCACCTGCCCCTATCCTGCCTGCTTACAATAGGCACAGCAGGCCTGGGCAGGTAGGACACTGGGCACGGTTGGACTTGGATGCTGGAGCTGGTTCAGCCAGAGTGCACTCCTTCCCACAGCACTGCCTTCAGCTGAAGGAGAGAGCTCTGTTTAGCTCCTCTTTCACTCCTAGCTTTCAAAGAGGTACCGTATGGACACTGTCATGATGTTCATTAGTCTCTGTCTGAGCCTCCTCGTGCTGCAGGAATCCCTGGAGGGGCTGGGGTGGGCTGGGTTCTGCTGCAGCTGAGCTCTGGTAGTTTTCCCCTGGGGTTTCAAGCAGTTTCGTTCCACTCAGGAGAAGTGCCAGGATTTGTTTCTTGGCAGCTGGTTCCGTTTTGCTCTAGAAAACCGATGCTGTGCTCAGAATGCACCGTGACTCAAATTCCTCTGGGCTGCTCAGGTCAAATAGCAAAGAGCAGCAACAGGGAAAACAGGGGACAGGGGAGCAGTTTTGCTCTGCAGAGAGCAAACAGAAGGGACGAGCCCTTTCTTTTTCCTTTCGTCCTTCCTGGAGCCAAGAAGCAGGAGCTGAGCGGTTGGAGCTGGGGCGGGGGGAAGCTGGGGGTCTGCAGGCTGCCTGCCTCCCACCTGCCTCCCACCTTTGGCAGCTGCACAGTGCTTGGCTCTGCCTGGACCTGCTCTGGGGAGGACTGCCCTTGTCAGCCTCATTGCTTCTGAGGTGGTGTCTGATCCCCTTGGAGAGCAGAGCACGCCCTCTCCATTTGTTTTGGAGAGACCTCAGGTAAGCTTTCTGGATCAGAGGTTTAAGCAAGGGGTGTGATGAGCAGTGACAGTTTGGGAAAAACACAAGCAGCAAAAGGTTTTGATACTGTCAGGAACGCGACAGGCAAGTTCACAGCCCCTGCAGGCCTTTGGCTTCTTGTTTTCTTTAGCCAAATGGGGAAAGCAATCCTGTGCAGTGACAGAGTGACCCTGTGACAGGCAGGGCAGAGCTAGAGATGCTGAGAGCAAAGCAGAGAGCCCAGGCAGGGGCTGGGAGGGGGGGAGATGGCCTGCCGGGGCTAGGGAAGCTGGGCACCTCTTTTTCAGGGAGGATGCTGTGAGGCATCGGGAACCTTGGGTCCTCTGACGTGCTCAGCTCGTTCCACTGCACCCTGGATGCTAAAGTTGCTCTCAGGGCACCTCTTCCTGCTGCTCAGGGACTTCCAGGGCTCTCAGGACCTCTGGGGCTAGAGAGTGAGAGGTGCAGGCACCCAGAACCTGCCTCCTTCACCAGCTGATGGTGCTGGGACTGAGGATGGGGCTGTGCCTGCCCAGCCTGGATGGGTGGTGAGGGCGGTGTGGACACAGCCCCTTGACGCCACTGCAGAATGGGTGTCCCCATCAAAACAGAGCTTGCCTTGTTCCCAGGCTAAAAGAAGGGGTTGTGTGGTAAGGAAGTGCAGCTGGGCTCTCTGATCTCCCACCAGTGTGTGTGTGAGCTGTCAGGACAGTGACTTCCTTGATGCTGGGCAGTTTTTTCCTGTGCACGCCTCCAGTTAATCAATTAAGTTTCTCAGCAGCTTCCTCCAGCATTCAGGCTCGGAGGGTGAAGGGGATTTGTTATTCTGGGCACTGCTGGAGAGGCATGAACTGTACTAAAAGCAAATTGGTTGCGCTTTCCAAGCACTGACACTCTTCACTCACAGCTTGGCTTTGTGGGCCTCCTCCCTCAACCTCCTCCCTGCTCTCCTGAGCACCTGTGGGTGCAGCTCTGGTCTGACCAGCTCACACAGGGCTGGCCTGAGGCACATCTGGCTGCACCTTGCTAGGGTGAGGCTGGGTGCTGGGGATGTTGTATGTCCAGGGCAGAGGCATTGGCATTGTTCTTGGGGTAGGGTCTTCCTGGAGGGTCAGTTTGGGTTTAGTGCTGCCTGATAAGGGCGCTGGAGCATCTTCTGTAGGGAGACAGGCTGAGAACATTGGGGCTGTTCAGCCTGGAGAAGAGAAGCTGCGTGGAGACCTCAGAGCAGCTTCCAGTGTCTGAAGGGGGCTACAAAGATGCTGGGGAGGGACTCTTCATCAGGGACTGCAGCAATAGAACAAGGGGTGATGGGTTCAGACTGAAACAGGGAAAGTTCAGGTTGGAGATAAGGCAGAAGCTCTTCCCTGTGAGGGTGCTGAGGCGCTGGCACAGGGTGCCCAGAGAAGCTGTGGCTGCCCCATCCCTGGCAGTGTTCAAGGGCAGGTTGGACACAGGGGCTTGGAGCAAGCTGGTCTGGTGGAAGGTGTCCCTGCCCATGGCAGGGGGTTGGAACTTCCAACCCAAACCATTCTATGATTGCCTCTCATCTGCTTCCCCTGCTGTAGCTGTACAAGCTGGCAAGGCTGGGTACCACAGTGCAGTCATGGGGACATGCTGTGTTAGGTTGGCTTGTCCTTTAGCTTACCCCTCTGCGAAAATATATTATCTTTTGATGCCTTTTTTCCCCTTTTCCTTCTTGTTTTCCTTCTTCATTGTTGTTCCTTGTGCTGCCCAGGCGTGGTCCTCCTCGTATGGGAGGAAGATGCTATGTGATGTGTTCACATCCCTCCCAGTAACCTCGGGCTTTGTGGAGCTGAGCACTGGCCTGAGAAACACAAGTGGAAGGGTCCAGCAGGGTGGGTGGAGACACCAAGAAACTCGGGGTGATCTTGGGAACATTCATGGATGATTGAAAGGAATTGCATCTCCTGCCAGCTCGGCTACACCCTGCCTCTCTGCTAGTGGGAATGGGGATGTGTTTTGTGTGTGTTTAGCAATGCAATGGCTTAAGCATGAGAGCAGCAGGATTCCTGGGGTCAGGAGGGCCGCAGAGGTTTGTTAGGAGCTCAGCCAGTTGTGTACAACTCCTTACTCCCCACACTTTGGCCTTTCAGGCTATGCACACACATCCTCCTAGGCCAAGGAAAACCTGGCTTGAGCAGAGCTGCAGTTGGCTGGGTAGGGAAGGCCACAGCTTGAATCTAGCCTGGCCTGGAGTTGAACAAGGTCTTTTGGATTAGATGCTGCCTGGCAGCCTCGGTGGTACCCGCTCAAGGCTTCTCTGCAGGCTTGGGAATGTGTCATCCTGCTTGGAGATCTCAGCAGAGGATAAGGAGGAGCTGGGTGGAGAAGATGACTCGGTGGTTTCAGAAGGTTTTTATCAGCAAGAGGATTTCAACCGCAGCAAGATAACCTGGTGCTAATGGCATTGCCTTCGTAGGATAAATCCCATACGTGTTCTGCTCAGGAAGGCATTTGGTGAACAAGAGAACCCAGGATCAGTCTTCTTTCCGAGCTGTTATACAATACTAGTGTGGGGTTAAAAACCTAACAACATCTGGGAATAATCAAAGCTGCTCGGGCTCTGGGAAAGCATGGCTGGAGAAAGTTGGAAGGAAGCAACTTGAAAGCTCAGCATTGTTAAAAACAGTCTGGAAGCCCTAGAAATGAAAACTAGGGTAACATCTACAAAGAGTGAGGAAATATCAAGAGAAGGATCTAATATCCTCTGAGGAACAGAGAGGAGCCAGAATGAATTGTAATGCTCGAGCCTCTACTAAGCTACAGGGCATTTCAAATTGCTTTGGAACAAACAGATCTGCCTTTCCTGCGGTTTCCACTGGCAAGAGAGCAGAGGGAAAGACCAGGGCTCGGTCTTAAAAACAGCCTAGGGAGTGGAAGTGTGATTTAATGGCAGATCATCACAAGCCTCCAAAAGCCGGGTAATGCCGCTGCAGAGCCTGCGGTGAGCGGTACCTGCCAGGGCTGGCTCGGAGGGATGCAGGGCACACAGCAGAGGTTCAGGGCCACATTGCATCCCTGGCAGCTCCACCAGCCAGAGGGCAGCTGGGGCAGGAGGAATGTAACCCACGGGCTGTGCTTTTCCAGGCAGCAGGATGCGTGCTTGTGCTGGCTCATGGCATCGCTGCGGGAAGGGGAGCGGGTGGATCGTGGTACCTGAGACACGTTCCCAGTGGAGGGTAACAGCGTCCTGCTGCCTCCCACTGCGGAGAATGGAGACAAGCTCACTGTGAGGCTGCAGCTCAAAGGACAGTGGGTTTGGGGTCATCCTCCGAGAGGGGTGGATAACCCAGGGCTGGCAGCTGGAAACAGTGCCCACGGGGGGTGTCTGGCTGGCAGCAGGGATGTGGTGCTCTGTGAGCTTCCTGAGCTACCTGCAG